ACGCGGGCCGACTCGGAAGCCCCGCCTCTTTCGGCCGACGGGAGCCGCCAATCGCCTCCGCGGCCGTGGCCAGGCGGCCAATGGGAGGCGCGACGGGCGGGGCGGCAGGCGGGGCTCCTCCAATGGGAGGCGGGGGCGGCGCCGGCGCGTCAGTTGGCCGTGGCGTGAGGAGAAGCGGCGGGTCGGCCGCGATGCCGATGTACAAGGTGAGGCCCTTTCGGGACGGCGCCGGCCCGGCGGTCCTGGCCCAGCACCTCCCCACCTGCATGTACCGCATGCGCTGCGCCCACCGCGAGGCCGACGGGCCCCCTGGCCTTGCCTCCTCGCCGCCGCCGTCGTCGCCTCGGCAGGTAGGAGCCGCTCGGCCCTGCGGCGCCTCACTTGGCCGCGCTCCCTGGCCCCGAGACCGCCCGGGAAGGCTTTCACCTTTGGACTAGCGCTCCCATCCTCCCCAGCCCCCGTTTTCCGCCCCAGGCCACTCCCCCTTCGGACTACAATCCCCGTCCTCCCCAGCCCCCGTTTTTTCCTCTGCCCCAAGCCACTCCCCCTTGGATTGCAGTGCCCATCCTCCCCAGCCCCAAGCCACTCTCCCTTAGATTGCAATGCCCATCCTCCCCAGCCCCCGCTTTCCGCCTCAAGCCGCCCCCCCTTGGTTACAATCCCCATCCACCCCAGCCCCCTTGTTCCGCCCCAAGCCACTCCCCCTTCGGACTACAATTCCCATCGTCCCGAACCCCAGTTTTTTGCTCTATCCCAAGCCACTCCCCCTTAGATTGCAGTGCCCATCTTCCCCAGCCCCCGTTTTCCTCCCCAAACCGCTCCCCCTTCCCCAGCCCCCATTTTCCGTCCCGACTCAATCCTATTCGGACTACAATCCCCATTCTTCCCACCTCTGCTTTTCTCCCTGCCTGAAGTCACTCCTCTTTCGGACTACAATCCCTGTTACCTCCCACCCACCCCCGCCACTTCTTTTGAGTCTGCTTTCAATTGTTCTGGTACTCCTGAAGGTTGCCCGGCTCCAAGTCCCATCAGCCCCAGCCCAGGCTGGTGGAAGGGCAGCCTTCCTCAGAGACCCATTGGGGCCCCACACAGGCTGGGGTAAGAGAAGGGACTCCCTCCCCCCCCCCAGCGCCTGGCTGCCTTCCTTTCACTTCCACTTTCTTTCAGGAACACATTTTCAATGATTGATTGCCTGTGTGTATTCGTGATCCTATCAAATGTGTATTAAAATTATTTACAGTATTAATGCAAAGTGGCTATGTAGCTTACAGTAAAAATCAAACGCTAGGGAGAGCCTTAGAATTTTGGATAAGCTTTAAATAAACCCTTTGAGGGGGTCCTTGGTGCTCTCTGAGCTTGGTTGTTTCCTTGTAGACATTTCATTACTCAAACTAGGTAAGATCAACAGTGCTGGTGATGTTACCTGCTAGTGAGGTTACTAGCACTGATGCTGTTACCTAGTTAGGCTCATGAAACGTCTACAAGAAAACAAGTAAGCTCACAGAGCACCAAGGACCCCTTATTTCAACCCTGAGCTATAAATATTCTCTTTTATTGGTACTGAACATTATTGAAACCCATTGAATATCAGTGCAGCTCCTCCTTGAGGGAGATGGGCAGTCTAGAAACATTTAGATAGATAGATAGATAGATAGATAGATAGATAGATAGATAGATAGATAGATAGACAAGATCGGTGGTGGCAAATCTATGGCACGCGTGCCAGAGGTGGCACGCGGAGCCCTCTCTGTTGGCACGCGCCATCACCCCAGCACATGTGGTCTCTAAAAGTTCACCATCACTGGCCTAAGGCCAGCCAGCCTGAAGCCGCCATTGGGGAACCCACCATCCCACCCACCAGAGACCCCCTGGATCTCCCCCAACTCTGCCCTGCCTGGCTCCCACAGGTGTCCCTCCCCATAAGCAACGAGGTGGCCACGCCCACCCCGGCCACGCCCACCCAGTCTGCCATGAGTACTGTAGCTGTACCTGCTGAGTGAGCCACACCCACCTGGCACCCGGTGATACATAAGTGGGTTTTGGGTTGCAGTTTGGGCACTCGGTCTCTAAAAGGTTTGCCAACACTGGACTAGATAGATATAGAGATACAGAGATAAAGATAAATAAATTGCACATAAAAAGGGACATCTGGAATACCTGGTTTTGTTCTGACACAATACAAAACAACGAAGTAAAGGCTAACTTAATTTTCATTCAGGATGAAGTTGATCCAACACTCCAGGCTCTTGAATTCCGCCAGGAAGAGATCTTGAAACGCTTGTATGAATTGAAAGCTGCTGTGGATGGCCTCTCAAAAATGATCCAGACACCAGACGCAGACTTCGATGCCACTAACATAATTCAAACAGATGACCATGTTTCTCTAACTGTCAGCTCTGCAGAACTTGATAGTCTGCTTGGGAAGGCAAGTTGGATTCATATTTCATATTCTAACTGTTGTTATGCTTTTATAGGTGTTCAAATGTAGTGGCGCATAATGTGCAATTAATTTCCAAGTATGACTAAATCCATATCCAGTTCACCATCTGTTTAGGATGGAGATCCATGTTTTTTCTAGGCATGGACTCTATTCTTGTAACATGCTTAGAGGTCTAGTGTTTTTAAGCTCTCAACTGACTTATGTATGGTCTGTTTCACCTTTTGTCACCTATGAGAGCCATTTCTGTCATCCCATTTCTTCTCCACAGCTAGTTTAAGCAGCATGGAAGACGAATAGGCAGCGTAGAACTGCAGTGCTGTTAATCTATGGAAGGATACAGTGCTAAAAAAAACCTTCAGCATATGAACTATGATAGGTGGGAAAGCTTTAGACAAGTGGAAATCTCCTGAGCAGTTGACTGAAGTCAAGTTTGTTTTAAAGCAGGATTACGGTGGCCTGAAGGATATTGTCATCAATGCAAGCCCCTCTTCCCCTCCACTGTCGTTGTTAATTCTCCACAGTTTTCTGTGTGAGAAGTACAAGATCCTTTCAACGGTTCACACACACTCATCCGTGAAAAACGTGCCAGAAAAGCTCCTCAAATGCTTTGGTGAGCAGATGAAGAAACAATTGCGCCACGAATACCAGCTGGGTGTTACTTTAATTTGGAAAAATGGTAAGTCTACATGGGCTTATTAATGGCGGCTGGCAGAGTTAGCCCACACCGCTTTTATTTATTAAATTAATAATAAGAGAATGGGTCTTCATTGGATGTAGGTTCTTTGAAGCTTAAATAAGTCTGATGTAAGATGGGTTTGTTTGCTGTTCATTTTGGGGTATTTGTTATCTGCCAGGCAGTATGTTACGTGAGAAATCAGCTTGGCAACCATGAGACAGCATAAACATGTTGGAAAAAGAATGGTGAATACAGTAGTTCTCGACTTATGACCATTTTCCACACTTACAACCATTGCAGCCTCTCCGTGGTCACGTGATTTAAGTTCAGATGCTTGGCAACCGGTTCATATTTATGACGATTGTTACAGTGTCCTGGAGTCATATGATCCCCTTTTGTGACAGTGGAATGGAATGGAATAGAAATATAGAATAGGAATAGAATAGAAATACAGAATAGAATAGAAATATAGAAATACAGAGTAGAATAGAAATACAGAATAGAATAGAAATATATGAATAGAATAGAAATACAGAGTAGAATAGAAATACAGAATAGAATAGAAATATAGAATAGAATAGAAATACAGAATAGAATAGAAATACAGAATAGAAATATAGAATAGAGTAGAAATACAGAATAGAATAGAAATACAGAATAGAATAGAATTATAGAATAGAAATACAGAATAGAATACAATAGAATAGAGCTGGAAGGGACCTTGGAGGTCTTCTAGTCCAGCCCCCTGCTCAAGCAGGAGAACCTATATCGTCTCAGACAGGTGGAATGTCTAGTCTCCTCCTCTTAAAAATCTCCAGTGATGGAGCTCCCACAATTTCTGGGGGTAAGCTGTTCCACATCAGATTCACTTAACTGTGTTAAGAACTGCAGTGACTCACTTAACAACTGTGGCAAGAAAGGTGGTAAAATGGGGCAAAATTCATTTCACCAATCCTGCTCAGCAACATAAATTTGGGGCTCGATGGTGGTCGTAAGCCGAGGACTACCTGTATACGCCAGCTCTCTGAGCATCATCTGTGTCTAATGCTCCCTTGGGATTATCCTTCCAGTGCCAAAACCCCAGATGAAGTTCAGCGTCCAAACCATGTGCCCCATTGAAGGCGAAGGGAACATTGCTAGATTCTTGTTCTCCTTGCTCGGCGCAAAGCATAACGCCGTCACAGCGACTCTGATAGACAGCTGGGTCGACACCGCCCTCTTCCAACTCCAAGGGGGGAGCAATAAGGAAAAAGCAGCCGTTCTGCGGGGCATGGACGCAACCCTGGGCAAGACCTCCTGGCTGGTGGGCAACGAGTTGACGGTCGCAGATGTGGTGGCCTGGTGTGCCCTTCAGCAGACGGGGGGCACCGAGGCCGTCCCGGCCCATGTGCAGAAATGGCTGCGGTCTTGTGAGAATCTGGCACCGTTTAACGCTGCTCTCAAGCTACTGAAGTGACTTTCTCTCCTGCGGGCAGGCAAGCACATTCAGCTCTTTCGACATCTCTGGCGATGAATCTGAGAGGATGGTTGGATAAATCAGATCTGAGAAATAACCAAAGCTGTAATGCCAATAAAATTTCATCAGAGTTGTCCTTTGTAAAGTGGTACTTCTTCAGCGAGAAAACTGGCCCGCTGGGCACCTGATCTTGGAAACAACATGGGCTGGGTTTTCCTTCTGAGATGTTTTTTCTCCTGACTTTCCTAACTGCTCCCATCCAAGAGTTTAACAGGCCCCAATCCTGCTTAACTTCTTTGGGATTAACCAAGATTGTCTGGCCTTGCTACCTGCTGTAACTACAGCATTACTGTTCAATGTCAGAAACTATAAAGAATTTCAGGAATGCTTCTTGCAATTTCTCTTCAGTTCAAATGAGAGAGACACCCTTATAGACATGGAATATTTTATGTTAAAAAAATAAGACAATTTAAAAGTTAATACGACAAATACTTTTGGTTCACTTAAACAGGAGATCCGAGGGGCTTGATTCTGTCTCTTTCGTCCCTCTCTTCTAACAGCAGCTTAATTTTTTCTTTAAGCAGTTTGATTTCTTCTTCTTGCTTCATCACTTTCTGCTGAAGAGCACAAATCACCTAAACAAAACAAAGCAGACAATTATTGCTGCCTTCCTGTATACAGAGTAGTGCCGGCAGAGATAGGAGGGGATCGGAGGGGATCGTTTTTCTACGTGGCTGCTCACTTCCTTTTTTAAAAACAATAGCTATCTTAATTTCATTTAAATTATATTCCTTTCTTTTCTTTAGTTTATTATGGTTGTTAACCAGCACAGGAGAATTGATATTCAAAATTAGGGCTTATTTAACTGGCTTATTATACAGTATGACAATTATGGGCTAACTGTAATAATTTGGGCTCATTATCATAAATTATAATCATCCAGGCTCACAATAATTAGGGGCTAATTTGTCTTACAATCAAATGATGATACTCAGGCTTTAACAGAATAACAGAGCTGGAAGGGACCTTGGAGATCTTCTAGTCCAACCCCCTGCTCAAGCAGAAAACCCTATACCATTTCAGACAAATGGTTGTCCAGTCTCTTTTTAAGAACCTGAAATGTTTATGATACTCTATGATAAATGTATAATAATTTGGATAATCAGGATAATCATGTTGCCAAAGCTTACATTTGCCGAATTATGGAAGAGTTCGCTGTCCAGCAGCTGAAGGGCTGTGGGTCTACGTGAGGATGTGTCGCTGGTCAGTAATTTCACGTATTTGGCCTGTATAGGCCACTTCCCACAAAAAGAGAGTGGGAGGCTGCCCCGTCTTAAGCCCATCAGAACTTCTGTTCTCTCCATTTCCGTTCCAAACGGCTGGAAGAGTTCAAACAGGATGACGCCCAAACTGTACATATCCGACTAGGGAGATAAGAAATGTTCGGGGTTAGAACTCTCCCCCCCCATAATTTAAATGCAACTTTTAACACACAACCCTTTGGAATCCATGTGGGGATATGCACTGTATAGCAACAGCTATGGGGCAACTTTTGCTTGACTCAAACACCAGGGAGGAAAATTTTGGCAAAAGCAGAAAAGTGGGCCAGAGCATTTTCCAGGACTGATTGTTCCCGCTTTGCGCCAGCCTGGCAATTTCAAAGCTGTGCCGTTGCTGCGTTTTAGGCGATCGTTCTAAAAACACCCCGAAAAGCCCAAATAATTGGGCTATAACCCTCGTTGCCAGGGGGCTCTCTATCTCCCTCTAAGCTGGCTTTCACGTATTTCTTTTTTTCTTGATAGCCAACCAGAATTCTAAGGCACCATATAATCGCTGTAATTTTGTAAGGCGCTGCAGAGAGCACTTTGGTTTTTTGTTTTTTTAAAAGAGAAATGACCTCTGATCTCATTATAAAGCTTACAGCTAAATGGTTTGGGAAGGATTAAAGACTGCTGCTTGTAATTATTCTATTGTTTCCCACGGCTGGTTGGTGGGAGCAATTTGTATTTCAATAACTTTCCATGTTGAGGGTTTTAGGCCCTGTTAATCAGCGGTTAGAATGCAGTTATTGCAGGCTAACTCTGCCCACTGTCGAGAGTTCAGTCCTGACCGGCTCATGGTTGACTCAGCCTTTCCTCCTTTCAAGGTCAATAAAATGAGGACCCAGATTATTGGGGGCAACATCGTGACCTTGTAAATCGCTCAACGGTATGGAACAGTATATAAGACTAAGTGCTATTGCTATGCTTATATATGTCCATTGACTTCTGAAAGATGGAATTGCACAACTGAGGTCCTGTTTTTAAAGAGCAACAGTTAGACTGGAGATTGGGATAGCTGTACCTTGAAATCATAATGAGAGCCTTGGAGTTGTTCAGGAGAAGCATACAAGCAAGTGCCTACTCCAGACGTATGGATGAATGCTATACCAAAATAAAGGGAGAATGTTAGCCTTAAAAAAAAAAAAACCAAGCGTTGCAAATCAATAACCAAAGCACCAAGTGGAATAATTACCATAATTATTTTCTGCGCTTAGCAGGTGGGTGGTATCTTCCTCTATAATATCTCTACAGGCTAACCCAAAGTCCCCTATTTTCACATGGTGGTTAGGTCCTTGGAGAAAGATATTCCGGGGCTGTGAAAACAAAACAAACGCACTGATGATGTTACCTAGTTGGGTAATGAAACGTCTGCAAGAAAACAAGCAAGCTCAGAGAGCATCAAGGACTCATCAATTCAACCCTGAGCCACAAATATTCTTTATTGGTACAAAACAAACAGTTCTGAATGTACTTCAAAAATTTCAAATCGCATATCAATTACATTTGGTGCAAAAGATTTTGATTAACCGAAAGTGTCAAAATAGAGCTGACGAGATTCCGTTGTGAGCACCAAGTAGGAGACCGGCCTTGAGAGCCCTCAAAGGCCCCTTTCTATTCTACGTGTCTTCTCCAGTGGCGACGACAGGCGCAAATAACCAGAGACCTGTACATGTAAAGTTTAAGTTGGCTACTTTATTTTTCTCTGCCTATTACGCAGGAATCTCCTCAGTTCACATGATAACTACTAGACCAGGCTTTAAGGCAGGGGTGTCAAACTCGTGTCACGTGACGTGTCGCGACGTATCACGACTTTTTTCCCCCTTGCCAGAGCTGGGATGGATACGGCTTCCGCGTGACACATCCGGACTGTGGGATGGCACTTTGACTCTCCTGCTTTAAGCTATTCAGGGAAGGTCAGACCTAGCTCTTTTGTGTTTACATAGAGAGTCCAGGCTACTTCCTCACTTGACTCCTGCTCTTCAAAAAGCAGAGATGTAAGCCTGAGCTGAATAGGACATTTTTTAGAGGCCGTAAATCTCTCTCTGTTTGGCCTGCAACCTTTTAGACTGATGAGATCATCATCTAACTGGTTCCAGAACCAAGCGCCATCATCAGAAAAGAACAATGGCTCAAATGTAAGGTTCCCACATGCATGTTTTCCATACTCAGCTCTGCCCATTTTTCTTTCCCGACATGGGCAATTTCATAAGACGTCCCTGCAAATGGGACAGCGAATTGACGGACGAAAAACTAATTGAGGCAATCATGACCAACAATACTTCGATGCTTCAAGATTTACTGCCATCCCACTCAGTTTACCAAACGATTCTCTTCCAGGTAGCTTTATCTGCTAAATCTAAAAGACTAAAATGGAATTTAAAACAGGATACAGGTAGTCCTCGATTTATGACTACAACTGGGCCCCCAGTTTCTGTCACTAAGCAAAAGATTTGTTAAATGAGTTTTCTCCCATTTTTTTTATCTTCCTTGCCGCAGTTGTTAAGTTAGGAGCAGGATCTGGCTTCCCCATTTGACTTTGCTTGTTAGAAGGCGACAAAAGGGGGATCACGTATCCCTCGGGGCACTGCGACCATCGTAAAATGAGTCAGTGGCCAAGTGTCCCGAGTTTTGATCACATAATCATGGAGACGCTGCCATGATGGGTCGTCAGAAAAGCGGTTGTAAGTCACTCTTTTTCAATGCCATTGTAACTTTGGACGAGCCCTACGGGAACTGTCTGTCGTAAGTCGAGGACTATGTGTAGATAGAATTTTATGTAGAGGGTCCAAAGCTGGAACTTCTGAAAAGATGTTTAATTCAGAATGACAAGTGTCATACCAAAGGGTCTTTAAATGGGATTTTGATCTGAACATTTTGACAAGCAGCAGAATGACTGTACAATCTTAGACGTATCTAATTAAAAGTACGTTCCGTTAACCCACTCTTAGAATTTAAAGTTAAATGGGACTTAAGTCTGACTTAGCAAGCACAAGTTTATGTGATGGGGCTGTCATCTTGTACGCTGCCCAGGGTCACTTTCAGTGAGACAGGCGTCTATCTAAATTTGACTGTTGGGATAAATAAAATCTTACAAGTCTATTGGATTAAGCCCTCCCTGAAAAAGTGAAGCGTTCTTTAGTCAATCCTTCTGATAGTTATTATAATGTAGAGTGCAGAATATTTTAGCCGGCTTCCTACGAAGTCCTATACTTTCAAAACAACCCGCAAAATGTGTTACAACTAAACTTTCTGCAATCACTTTCTAGGCACCTAAATAGTTAGCTGAAGCTCAGATCAGATTCAAAGAATAAGCTACTTCTTAAGACAGTAGAACAAAATGTATTGTAAATTATAAAAAGCCTTCGGATGGTCTTGATTTCAATAAACCACATCAAATGTGATAGCTTGCTCGACTAGCTTACATGTTGCCAGTTACGACTTTTATATCTTTTTCTCCCTTGTCAAAGAAAAAAGGGAGATTTGTGCAAGATAATACACGAAATGAAGATCCTGAAATGAGGTAACATTTTACTAAATGTCAGCGGTTATAATACGGGATTTGGGAAATGTTTAACAGCAAGGACTGTCAGACACAAAGAATCAGGACCACATGTTAAATTCCAGCCAATCTGATTTATTGCTTATGCCTATAGAGGTAATACTCCACTTACAGCCACAACTAAGCTCAAAATAAGTGAAACATTTGTTAAGTGAATTTTGCCCCATTTTATGACCATTCATGCAACAGTTGTTAAGTGAATCATTGCAGTTATTAAATTAGCAACATGGCTGTTAAGTGGATCTGGCTTCCCCATGGACTTTGCTTGTCAGGTCACAAAAGGGGGTCAGATGACCCCAGGACACTGCAACTGTCATAAAGATGAAGCAATCACATATCCGAATTTTGGTCACAAGACCTGGGGAGGCTGCAACGGTCGCAAGTGTGAAAAACAGTCGTAAGTCACTTTTTTCAGTGCCCTTGTAACTTTGAATGGTCACTAAATGGACTGTTGTAAGTTGAGGAGTACCTGTATACAAGAATCTACTCAATTAAAAGTCAGTGCTACGCTGGCACTAGAAAAAGTCAACGGAATTCAAGAGGGATTGGCCTTAGGTCGTTTGTGGGAATGTAATGACTCTAGGCTGATTCCTCTCTTAACTCCTCCACCTGGGCTCTACCTGTCCTTTTCCTACAAGAATCCATTAACACTTGTTGAGTCAAGCTGCTTAGTAGTGAAGGACCAAACCTTTGGTTGGTTGGCTGGAGTTGGTATCATCACAGATATCTAGAAAGCACCCTGTAGTCTACTCCCACTGTATTAGATATTCCACGACAGAGAAAAAAAACTTGCCAATATGTATTTTATCCCTGCCCATTTAGCCACCAAAGAGCAGAATGCTCCACGGAGAACCCCCGCAGAGCAGAAGACAGGAATGTTAGCAAACATCTCTCTGTCAAATTGAAGAAGAGCTTCAAGACCACAAACAGTGACACGGCTGGCCCCCGTGATCACCATCCTCTCCATCTGGCTGTAACCATGGGGTGTCATCACCTAATCCCCGACCTGCTGAAGCGGGGGGCAAGAATAGACGACAGGTCGAAAGCTGGACAGACCGCCCTTCACCTTGCTTCCCAAACCCTCAACCACGAAGCCATTCAAACGTTAATCCACTGTGGGGCCGAGGTGAACTGTGCCACTCCGATGACCCGAGAGACCCCGCTCCACTTGGCCGTCCACGCCTCGTCCTGCAAGGCCGGCCTCGTCCTCGGGGCCGATGGGAAGTGTGTGGCGCTTCTGCTGATGAATGGGGCCGACGTGTGCAGGAAGGACTGGAGAGGCCAGGAAGCCCTTCACCACGCTTGCCGAAACGGCCATGAAGACATTATTAACCTCCTCCTCAATTACGGGGCAGACGTGAACGCCTTAACACTGAGAGCCGAGTCGTGCCTTTTCCTGTTCCTCGAAAAAGCCGCCAATCTAAAGAAGGCCAACCTCCTCTGGAAGCTGCTAAGCCTCTCTTACCCTCTGAAGCTCACCAACTCCGACGGTCGCCTACCCCAACTCCTAGATGACCCCTACTGGGAGCCACTGAAGGACATACTCCTACAAGTGTCCTGTCAAGTCTGGTCCTTGCAGGACATTTGCAAATTCAACATCCGGAAGGTCTACGGCGGGAACTCAAGATACTGGCTCAAAGAGCTGATGCCCATCGAGCTGTGGGACTCTATCTACATGAGCCAACAGTTTTCGTACGCTTCGAAAATCGTCGAAAGGATTTTTGACAGCGGGTGCCGCCAGTCTGAAGTAGGGGAGAGGCCCTGGGACGCTAACCTCCTCCTCCTTTTCCTCCTTAGCGTGATTCCTGCGCTATGGCAGGGTCCACTTTTCCTGGGACGCTAGTTTTTGTTCTGACGTGTCAAAATAAAATAAAATCGGAAGCGTCGGCTTTGTTGCTCTGAGTCAGTCCTCCCAAGCACGGATTTTGAGCATGGAGCACACACTCCCTCCGTTTGAAATATTTAAGAAGGAAAACGGAGAGGGGTTCCTGCAATTTGGAGATGTGCAACAGGCATCCAGCCCGGCCTTTTTAAAAACCCTGCTGGAAGCAACGCGATTCCCAGCTGAAGGAGACCGAAATTGGAGAAAACGGGGAAAGGAGCAACGGGCATGCACAGCAAATACAGGTAGTCCTCGACTTAACGACCACAATTGGGCTCAAAATTTCTCTTGCTATGCGAGACATTTGTGAAGTGGATTTTGCCCCACTTTACAACCCTTTCTGCCATGGTTTTTAAGTGAATCACTGCAGTTAGTAACATAGCTGACTTTGCTTATCAGAGTCACAAAAGGGATCACGTGACCCCGGGACGCTGCGTCCGTCATAACCACGAGTCAGTTGCTGAGGGTCTGAATTCTGATCACTGACTCTGGGAATGCTGTAACGGTCGTTAAGTGTGAAATATGACCGTAACTCACTTTTTCCAGTGCCGTTGTTTGAACGGTCCCTAAATGAACTGTTTTAAGCCGAGGACTACCTGTAATTGTGTATTAGAAAGGCGTTCGTCGGTTTGAAACAACAGAAATTTGGGCTTAAGTAGGAATTTCTGTTGTTTGCCACATCTAATGCCAACATATAATGGTTTCTTGATTCTGAATATTTAACCACCCATCCAAGTTCTTAATGCATTCTTTGAGTGCAGAATTTCTAAATACCCAGTCTGGCTCTGAAAGAGTATTTTACTTACTTTAATGTCCCGGTGCATAATCCCATTACTGTGGATATAGTACACGCCTTCTAGCAGCTCCTGGAAAATCTTCAAGGTCCAGTGTTTCTCAATATAATAATAAGGATCTTTAAAAACATTTAAAAAAAAAACCACAGTTTTTGTACGTGCAATACTGGAATATCACAAATGAAGGCAAATTGACATGTCCTGGGATAATGTGGCAGGATCCAACCTGGGTCGGTTACAGGGACCGGACTTTTTGTCTTCCGAACTTTCGGACTCGTGCTGAAGCCCATCTTTGGGGAATTTCTCTCTGCTAGCTGGGCAACAGCACAGAGTCCGAAAAACTCAAGAGTACAAAACCCTTGGTTCTGGTGACCGACCCAGCTTGGATCCAGTACTGGAAATGTCTTTATAACAGCTTGTTAATGACTCTCTTTGAAATATGTTGATTAAAAAAAAAAAAACAAGAACCAGGCAAGTATCTTTTCCAGGGCAGTTGCTTAGACCAGCGGTCCCCAACCCGCAGTCCGTGGACCGTGCCAGCAACCGGTCTGCACAAACAAGGAAAGCCCCATCCACAGGATGCAGGCAGCACACAAAACCACACCCCCGTTGATTAAAAAAAACAACAACAAGAACCAGGCAAGTATCTTTTCCAGAGCAGTTGCTTAGACCAGCGGTCCCCAACCCGCAGTCCGTGGATCGTGCCAGCAACCGGTCTGCACAAACAAGGAAAGCCCCATCCACAGGATGCAGGCAGCACACAAAACCACACCCCCTCTGGTCCGCGGAAACACCTCCCTCCACGTAACTGGTCCCTGATGCCCAAAAGGTTGGGGCTTAGACTTTTAAGACTTACTAGAGGCATCTGTTGCTTTTAGACACAAATCATTTCTGCTAGCAATCCAGTCACACAAAGAGGCTTCGCACAGTTGCATTTGGATATGGAGCATCAGGTGATACTCAACCTAAGAAGGAAAGAGGGAGGCGCTTTTTTTTTTCAATGCACCATGAGAAAGAGATATAATACTACACAAACCTACGAAAGGCCGAGCGATTACAACCGCGACTTAGGCAGCAGTGACCCTATCTGCAAGAATTGTTGCTGAGTCCTCTTTTTCAGAGCTCTTGTTAACTTTGAATGGTCCCCACTTCACCCAAGTTGTGTGACTTCCCAGGGCTGGGCTTATTCTGAAACACGAACCAATCTGAAGCACGTTTTTTCACACAGTGAACACAATCCCCCTCTTCCCCTTCACTCCTATTCAGATGCAGTCCCACAAAGGGATCAATTTCAGAAGCAAGGAGCAGATTTTGCGTCTACAAAGGTGCTTAAAAACTGTCCTGCAAAAATGTCAGAGCAGAATGAAAGCCTATTCGAGATGAATTTCTACTAACCACACAAGGCTGGTGAGAAGGTCTCTCGTTTTGGGCACCTTCATCGGTGCAAGAATCCCCATTTTCAGTGCAGCAACGTAGGACCGAGGACTGATTTCCGTTGTCCCTGAATTTGTGGCTCGTGTCATTTCCCCCATTGCTGCCATATGTCCCAGGGGGAAGTGTGCAAGCAGTCCCTTCGCTTCCTTTAGAATTTCTGCCCAGAGAATCCTCCGGGCTCCGACTGGTGAAGATAATGGAGCTGTCTTCCATTTCTTGAATGCAACTCTGGTCCCTACAAAAAAAAAAAAAAGGAAAAAAAACCCCTCAAAATCAAGGAAAGGAACTGTACAGCCCTTCATGATCCAACACTGCCCCTCCCACCGAATAATTTTATTTATTTAAAAAAATGAGGCAGTTCTTGTGGAATCCTAGAATACGTTACTCGGAATTTCCTGGCTCCGAAGACATTTTGAGAGACGGAAGATCCAAGCCTAAGCCACCTATAATGGAGACAAAGGATATTTTATAAAGACAATTTTATACCGCTGGGTTCATACGAGGTGCACAGCGTGAAAATCAAACTATTGTCATGGGCAGAACGCAATTTATTGGTCATCACGGGGCATGTGAACCCTACCGACCCTGTACCTTCCATGCTCTTGGTTTTAATCCTCTAATTTCTGTGAATTTTAATTCAAATAGTTTTATATCTCTGCTTTTATGCCATTGTAAGGCACCTCTTTGAGACAGCAGAAGAGAGGTGGCTTATAAATTCAATCAATCAATAAAATGGAGAGGGTGAGATGAAGCCCACAAATTATAAAACGCTGCGCACTGCCCGAAGTCAGATAGGTGAGACAAGAAGTATAGATATGGAATAAACAAACAAACAAATATGCTCCCCTTTTGGACCGGCTGGCTGAACGTGTTCCATCCAAGCCGTGTGGTAACCTACAATGTGAGGATGCTGCAGCTGAGCCAAGACTTTCACTTCCCGTAGGACCTACAGAAAGATCAGAGATGAACTTATTGTCATGGTTCCGACAGATGAAACTCTTAAAAAGAACTTTGAGGCATTGTTTACCTTAAAGAATCTTTATTTTGAGTAGCATAACATCGGCACTGCATAATTGAAGCCAAAAACTGAATTCCCCTCCCCGGGGCACATAGTATCCAAGCACAATTCCCTCCTCCAATTAACAGTCATAAAGCACATTCCCCAATTAGCTTGAAGCGTGGGCTTTCTCTCCAGTTCTCCAGCCTGCCAATTCCTTATCGGCTCTGGTTACAATAACTTTGTTTCTCACGCTAGGTCTAGTGTTGTTATGTCTAGCTGGACTCTCGTTCACACACACCCTCCTCCCAGCGTCATCTAACTCTAAAAGCAAAAGGTAAAAGATGGCTACATTTCCATCTGTTGTCAATGCAAAAACATCTGATGTTAGCAACGTTGACACTTATCACAATAGGTATGACCAGGTAAGCCACTCTTTCCCAAGATGCCCATCGACCTTCCGGAAATGGAACTAAGAGTGCCTTGCACTTTTGCCCTTACCCACCACCTGTCAGGCGCAAGAAACCAAGGAACCAAGGCTGTTCACGTGAAGGCAGGTTTTATTGCACGCTATCGTTCTCTACAAGAATCTGAGCTGCTAACAATCAAAGTGAACTGGCGGTAGAGAAGAGTCAGTGGAATTCAAGATGGGCTGGATTTAGATCTCCTGTGGGTGCGAAGGGATTAAAAAAACCGATGATGTGCTAGACCCTCCCCTCGGGCTCTGCCTGGTCATCTCCTGCGTCCCCAAAAATGTAACGTCCACCATAAGGGCACTGCAAGCTCAACGGCGCCCCTTGAAAAACTCTGCATCCCCCAAGCAAATGGTTTTGAGTTGGATGATAGCAAAGACTCTTGAAGAGCTGGGCAACTTCTCTTTCTAAGCCCCCATCGACATTGTACTGGGGGTACAAGCAAGAAATAGTAGGCGGGGTTAATCGGCAGGAAGTGTCAGTCAAAAGTGGGTGGGGTTACTACTATTCAACTCCAGACTTCCTGGGTGTTCGTTCTCTCTCTCTCCATTCTTCTTCCCAGAGATACAGTAATTTTGCGGCTAGCAGATTTTTGGAAGCAAGGCAATAAAATAGCAAAGTTTCTGCCTGCAATTGACAGATTTCTTTTAATATTAAACATCGACTAACCCCGATCTGAGAACCGTGGCTCCTGTCTTTGCAAAACACCCTCCAGCCAACACAAAACAAGGCCGTTACCTTCATGCAGTCCCGTTTGGTGGCTTTCTTAATCAGGATTTTTTTAATCGCGTAGAATTGACTGTCGAGTTTATTTCTGACCTGAAAGGAGACCAATAAGGCAGAAGGGTGTAAGACAAATTTAGAACAAAGGATGATACGGACGTCACTTTTTGTAAAGAAGTTTCATCCAGACACTGGGATTTTCTCAAATATGCAGTAAGGGTGGGATATAAATGGAATAAATAACTATCACCTGCCAGATACAGAATATGGGCCTTGGGTGGCAAATAGGGAGAAAGGCCACATGGTGTATCATGACATCCCTGCACAAACGCTACAAGTTATGTAATTCAGCAAATCCAACAATTCATTGTTTTAGGAGTGCATTCTTGCATCGTGTTTTATAAATCTGCTTAGAATAAAATCTTAAGATATACTGAAAGAAGGCCTGCCACAATTTCTACCCACCACCAATGGGCCTTATTCTCCATTTGACTATAACCAATGCTAGTGTTGATATAGTCTGTTATAAATACCTTATATACTGTTCCATACCCTCCTTTCCCAAGCCGTGAAATCTCATCAAATTCGTTAACATAACGGGATGTCTGCGCTTCGAAGAGGATTTCGTTCTCCCTAGTTTTTAAAAGAGCCTATTAATACGGAGTTGTTATAAAAAAAAAATCAAATACCACCAACAATAAATTAAAAAAGGGGGAAATATTCCACTGTAAAACTTTCTTTCGTGGATAGACGAGCAACATATGGAAATAGAAAGGAGACACCCATGTACAAAAATATCCAGATTGGTGACAGCCTACTAAGGATCAAGCTGCTGATTTTTATCCTGCCTTAGACACATCTCAGTTTTTCCAATTCAGACATAGAAAAACAGAACAGAACAGAAAGCAAAAGTCTCTTCTTGTGATGCCCAAGGACTTTTACATTACAGGATTTTACATTACAGGATTTACGGTTCCAACGTAATCGGAATTTTATTTCCACAATGCAGGGACTCCAGAAGCTGGTGTTAACTGCTTTTCAGGGAATAAAGCTCTACCAAGCAATGTTAAAGTTGACATGTTAAATAGGTAGCTGGTCGAGACATTATTCCGGGAGCTTTGAACACGTACCTGTTTGTGTAGGAATTACCAGGACCAACTTCCTACGTGACAAAGAAAGGAAGAAAGAGACGATTAGTAACAAATACACAATCAAGAAACAAAAATTGGATTTTTGTGAAAACAAAATGAAAAGCCTAGAGAACAAAAACCAACAATCTTTCAGCACAAATGTCAATCCAACAGAGAAGCAGTTTTGAACTTCTTTTCCAATGTAGTCTTACTCCTATTCTCCAGGATATTTTACAAAGCCCCACCTAAGAAAACTGAACAATGAATTAAAAAAACAACAACCAAAAAACACTTTTTCCGGACACATAAGAGATCAGACCCATGATTTAAAGGTCTGTTTGCAAAGCAAGCAGAGGCAGTTGGGGCATTTCCTGAGAAGGGAACGAATTTTAGGACGCTGAAAAGATCATAAGGAAAGAGCCTAATTTGGTCTAGTGCAGAGGTGTCAAACTGCCGGCCCGTGGGCCGGACGTGTCACGAGGAAACTGCGCCCACCCCATTGCCGGCAACGGGAAAAAGCTCCGATACGTTGCATGACATCATGTGACATCGCGAGTTTGACATGTCTGGTCTAGTGCTTAAGGCACCAGCCTAGAAACTCTTCCTGTGAGTTCTAGTCCCATCTTAGCCAAGGCTAGATGACTTTGGGCCAATCGCCAGGAGACGGTGAGTTCTAGTCCCACCTTAGGCATAAAAATCAGTTGGCTAACTTTGGGCCACTTTTTTTTCAATGTCGTTGTAACTGCAGTTGGTCACTAAATGAACCGTGATAAGTCGGGAACTAGCTGTAACAGTGGTTTTTAACCCCTCTGCTCTCCTTCAGTAAAATAAGATGCGGTGGGGGAAAAAAACACAACCTCATCACAGCCGTAGTAATGAACTGCCAAGTGTCCTCATTTTGCACGATTAAAAGAGATGATTTGAAATCCCAAATATTGTTCTAGCATGCTTGTAAATGGGCCTGTCAGGAAGCGGAGAGAGGGAGGGAGGAAGAGAGAGAGAGAGAGAGAGAAAGAGGGAGAGAGAGAAAGAGAATTACCTCATTGTCTATTTGCTTGTTGGCTGCTTTCATTAGTTCAGTAATGGCTCGATTATGCTGCAGTCGCAAACTGCTGAATTCTTCACAAACGGCGAAATCGGAAAGCAAGCCCATCTGAGTAAATGTTTTACAGAGTACTGTATGGGGAGGGAGGTGGGGAAAGAAAAGACCCTTTGAAAATAAACCGAAAACTCTTCCAACGCTTGCCTTCGTTACGTTTTTATGACCTCCCTCTGCTTCCAAATGCTTTTCTTTCATTTAAAACATGAGTCCCCAAGGGTGGATTTCAGAATAATGAAAAGTTAAGATATTAATACAGCTAACAGTTATAATACAAGTAGCCTCGTCCAGCCCTTGAGATGTAAAATCCAGTAAAGTATAGCAGCTGCAAACCATCGGGAGAGAAATAAAAAAGCAACTTTAAGAGGAAAAGAAGAAAAACAGGCGTGCTAAGGCTTCCTATAAATACTGGTGAGGCTTATAATCAGGCTTATAATGGTGAGGCAACTTGTATATAAACAGAGGGCAAACCCTACTTCTAGCACTGGCGTTAGCTAGTTGGGTCGTGAAATGTCTGCAAGAAAGGAACCAAGCCTAAAGAGCACCAAGGACCCCACAGTCCTTCTCCTCCACCTCCTTCTTGTCTCCTTCTCCTTTCTCCACTCTGCAAACCCAATTCCCTCCTAACACTGATGATGTTACCTAGTTGGGTCATGAAATGTCTACAAGAAAAGAACCAAGCTCAGAGAGCACCAAGGACCCCATAGTCCTTTTCCTCCTCCTCCTCCTCCTCCTCCTCCTCCAATCCCACTTCCTTCTAGCACTGATGATGTTACCTAGCTCGGTCATGAAATGTCTGCAAGAAAAGAACCAAGCTCAGACAGCACCAAGGACCCCACAATCCTTCTCCTTCCTCCCTGTCCCCTTCTCCTTCCTCCACGTTGACTGAACTTAACAAAATTGAGATCAAATGCTGTTCTGTGGGGTTATTCGCTGGGAAGTTATCAGTCTCAAACTACTCCATAAGGTCAACTCAAACCCTTCACTAACATTGAAACAAACGTCTCGAACGCATCGGATCTTGAGTGTAGACATGGCAAAGATGCTCCAGCAGAGAAACCAGCAGGAGCTGGTTGGCAAACGAGGACTTGATGTTCATTAATTTCTGGGAGCCATTTGTACCCCGAAATTCAGCGGGCCAGTCAGAATCTGAAAAAAAAAGAACAAAAAGGAAAGCTGGTTTACATCTTCAGTGCCCTGAAAATAAGATTTAAAGGACTTTCAAAGACATGGGTGTATTTGTAAGTGTAAAGTGTAAATCAAGGTGTCCACTTTTGGTGATCTTAAGATTTGTGGATTTCAGCTGCCAGAATTCCCCAGCCAGCATGGGTTATTGTGGAAGTTAAAGTCCACAGCTGTTAAAAGTCACCAAGGTTGAACACCCCAAGTTTAATTTGTGTAAAGAATCCAAATTCAAGGTCAATTTGATTTTCTTCCCCTTTTTTTCCTATACATTTCCTGAAACAGATGGAAATGGTGCAGAATAAAGCAATCATCCATTATTAATTTCAGCCTCCTGTTTATGCCATAGAATATCAATGGTGCAAAGCTGTTTTATAGTCCTGTGAAGCTGCAAAATCCATGCTCGTAAGAGAAATGCTTGCTTTTCATGACAAATGGGATGCAATAAAGATGCCATCCACCTCTCAGCCTGAGTTGCTTTATGAAGGTCCATATATAAGAAGTAATCATCTCCAGAATTATTATACCATCTATTTATTAGTCATACATATGCTGCTATATGGAAAAAGTGCTGTTATTCATTTATAAAAAGCTTTATGGCTTTTTCCGCCTATTTGCTGTATATTTATGGTGCAAGCTACAGTAGTTATTAAGGTTTTTAAGAACAAAAATGCAAAATAAAAATATAAATTATCGCATATGGTAATTTTTGCCTATCTCTGGGCAAGCAGCTAAACTGATTCTCGTCTCAGAGAGAAACACTCATAGCAGGAAAAGCATTTGTGAAGATTCACCAGATGTACCGATATGTGCTGTAGTGTTGTGAAAAAATACAGACACACCTACGCTGAAGCGTTTGGGCATCAGAGATTTCTCCTCCAGCTCTGGAATTCCAATTCCTATTAACTCACATCCAGCTTAGCCTTATGCTTATCATAGGATAAATCAATTCTAAATGGGAAATAAGATTAATGCTGATCTTCTTCATCCCTTTCGCGTCCATCGATGTGCTAAAATGTTTGTCTGATTTATACCTGACTAATAGAATTTATTTTGGAGGCCACTAACACTGTACGTGTGCAGCAGACCTGTTTTTAAATGAACCTAATTCAAAATTGCCAAGATCCTGGTTTTGCATCTGAGGCTAAAAGAAGGACGCTGATGCAACGATATTGCAAACAGAGTCACAAGACCGAGTCAGAGAAATGATGAAACAGCTCCTTCCCTTATCTGCCTCAAGATAAAGATCAATAATGTGAAAGTTCAGCCATCCGATACCTTTCAACATTCAGACTGTGATATTTCAAACACTGTTGCACAAAGACCATGTTTTTCAAATACAGGCAAGGAAGGCAAAATAAAAAGTGGCAACAGAATTACACGGAAAGTAGCTATTTAACTGAAAATACACAACTCTAAAATGCCTCTTTCTTCTTTTGCAAGGAAGATTCCCCCACACACAAATACCAGGCAGAACCAAAGGAACACCAGGTTACATTTTACCCTAAATTTTAAATCTCTGCCCAGAAACCCAGAAAAAAATGCAAGATTTCTTATTTTCCTTATGGGAGGTTTAGTGTGTGTGTGTGTGTGTGTGTGTGTGTGTGTGTGTGTGTGTGTGTGTGTGTTTGTGTTTTAAATAGATCTTAAAAAACCATCACATTTCCAAAGCAGGGTTGTCAACTTGCACAGTCCAAAAATGAACTCTTAAGTTCATTTTATGGAGGAAATAAATACAGGTAGTCCTCGACTTAGTGGTCAAAATTGAGCTTGGAATTACGGTCGTAAGTTACTGCAGCCCATAAGTGGGTCACCATGTGACTGGACCTGATTTTACAACCTTTTTTACAACAGTCATTAAATGAACGGCAGTCATTAAGCAAATCAGTTTTACCCAGTGGGTGTTCTTTTTTGCAACTGGAAGAAGTTGCCAGGAACCAGCAAAAATATTTTAAAATCGCAATCCTGTGGACGCTGCAAGTGGCTGTAAAAGTGAGTTGATTGCCATGCACCCAAAATGTTATCATATGTCCATGGGGGGGGGGGTTGCAGCCATCAAAACTTTGAAATTGGGTCATAAGTATTTTTGGGGGTGTCCATCATAATGTTGAATAGTCGCTAAGAGACTATCTGGGGACTATCTGTAGATGTAATAAACAATTAAGTTATCTTTGATTGTTTTTCTCCCTGAATTATGGGAAATACCTGAACATGTAGAAAACCAGCATGTTAGTTTTTCTAATTTTTCTAGATTTAGGTTTGGTTTTTTTTCTTCTGTTCAGTCATGTCCGATTTGCAAAAACTGCCTGAACAAGCCCGGCAGGTACTTTCCAGTGAAAAAGCATTCAAACAGAAATTGAACAAGAGAGAGAGAGAGAGAGAGAGAGAGAGAGAGAGAGAGAGAGAGAGAGAGAGAGAATTACTTTGTGTCTTGAGTGGATTGGGCCGCTGAGGTGAACTCTACTGTAAACCTATTTATTCCCTGCTCAGGGGGATGCTGCTAAGCCTGTTTTGCAAATGTGGAGTTGGGTGGGGGAAACAGATTCCAATCCTGGAATTAACCAGCTTTCTTATTAGCGGCTGGAAGTAGTAATTTACCCTTCATTATGCATCATTTGCCTTCATCTTCCTCTCCATCAACTTTGTAACCTCCTCTTGTTAAATATCAAATTATAAAAGGCTGCCCTGTAGGGACCTTTTGTCTTCTGCAATTCATTAAACAAAACACAGGAGAGGAAGGTGACACTGTATACATATGTCATTAAAAAGCCAACTTTTTATACAAGCCCCCATTACAATCCCCAGTTGTATATTAAATGATCTACTGCACATGTACACATACCTTTCTCTCTAAAATAATCATCTTATACACACCCTATTTACAATCCCCAGTTGCATACATAATAATCCAGGGATGCATTAATATATACACACAAAAACAGACCCTAGATTATATTCTCTCTCCCTTTCTATGTGTGTGTGTAAATATAAACACCAACATACACATTCTCTGTCTCTTTCACACGTATACTACACCGTACATATATATACATGTACCCCCCCTCTAAAATAATCATCTTTTTATACACACTTCCTCAATGGTTCTCAGTTGCATATAAAATAATCTAGGGAAGGAGAGATAGATAGATGGATAGATAGAGACAGAAGATTAATAATGATGATGATGGATGATAGATAGATAAATAGGTAGGTAGGTAGGCAGACAGATAGGCAGACAGACAGAAGAAATAGGAAATAGATGACAGAAATACAGATAGATATAAGCAGAGGATGGATAAAAAGATGCAGATACTATGTATCTCTGCGTGTATAAATAAGACAACCTATTCTGTATACACACACCACACACACGCACAAACAAAAACTGCGCACACCAACCCAGATACACCCCATCCCTCTCCCTCCCAACTTTCTTTTCCTGCCCACTCCCTTACCACCGATGCACTGATACACGTGTATGCACTGATACACGTGTACACACATCCCCACATACTACTCCCCCCAACACCCTTGTTTCGTTCCAGCCGCCCTCCCGTCCCGCGCACCGTCGAAGGGCGGCTCGGCTCCGGGCTCCGCCTCGGGGAAGCCGATGGCGGCGGCGGCGGCGGCAGCCCGCGGCCTCCCAGCCCCGCCGATGCTGAAGTTGGCCTGCCTCCGCCACATGGCCGCGCTCCGCAACGCCAACGGCCCGGTCTGCCTGCCTGCCTGCCTGCCTTCCTCCCGCGCTAAGCCCGCCCGCCCGGCTTACTGGCAAGGCGACGCCCCCTGCCTGGCCCGTGTGCCAGGCCGCTACTACACTCCCCATAGTCCCCGGCCGGGCTGGGAGGGCGAATCCTGAGAGGGTGCGGGGGCGGGAAGGAGGCCGCCAAATTGAAGGGGTTATTGTTCATTTTATTTTTTAAAAACGGATTTTATTTATGAAATAATTAGGATTGCTATCAAATGTGTGATGATTGTGGCTGGTCAGCCAGATGTTCAGGCTGGACTGGGCATTTTTGCCCACCTATCCAGGCCTCCCCATGGATCTGGGAGAGGCAGATGTGGTCGTTTGATGGTGCTTAAAGGTCTCCTGCAGAAGGGAAGCTATTCCTAATACAGCTGGCTTTTGCAATTGACTAATGGTGATTTTTGTCCATGCTGATGGTGTTCGATATTATTATAATGGCTGGTGGCCCAATCAGCCAGATGTTGAGACTGGATTTGGCAGTTGTGCCCTTCTATCAAGGCCTTCCCAAGGATCTGGGATAGGCAGATGTGGATGTTTGATGGTGCTAAAGGTCTGGTGCAGAAGAGAAACTATTCCTAATCAAGCTGTCTTTTGCGGTTGACTACTGTAATTTTGTCAATGCCATAGTGTTCAAGTGGTACTCCAGATGTTTTGCAATTGCACCCAACGGGCCTATTATTATGATGATAATACATTGCACTGTCATCCAGATGTTGAAACATCAGTCCTTCCCAAGGATCTGGGATTGGCAAATGTGGTTGTTTAATATTAAAAAAATATCAATAAGATTAAATATGTTAATATTAAAATGAATTAAAATTTGTAATTACAATGCTAAAGGCAGGAGGTAAGCTGTTCTAAATCAAGCTGTCTTTTGAAATTGACTAGTGGTGATTTTGTCCATGCTGATGGTGTTTGATATTATTATAATGGTTGGTTGGCCAATCAGCCAGATGTTGACACTGGATTTGGCATTTGTGCCCACCTATCGAGCCCTTCCCAAGGATTTGGGATAGGCAGATGTGGATGTTTGATGGGATTAAAAGTTTCCTAATTTTTTTCAAGTGAAGCTGCCTGTACCAAGGAGTCAAATAAAATTAGGGCAGGTTATTCAAAAGCTTATTCCAGCAAGTGAAGGATGCATGGGTGCAAGTATATATCTGGAGATGTTTTTAAACGACTGCTCATGTCAAAAATGAGAAATGAATATTAACGAGAACAGCTAACTTTATTATAATTTGCATTTCACTGAAATAATAAATGCATTCCCGCTGCTAACATAGCATTCAGATCAATTATTTTATTTAAATTTTTGATAGGACCTTACATGATAAACCTATGCGACATTAATCTCATTAAACTCAGTAAGACTGATTTTTGCTGAATTTCATCCATGATGTTCTTTTTTTGGATTGGGTACAAAAAAGATGCTTTTTAATTTGTATGAGTATTCAAAAGGACGTCTTTTTTTTTTTTTTAAGGCATATTTTACGCAGGAGACATCTGTGTCAAGCTAATGGGGCCATCCACTTCCCTGGAGAATATGTAGTTCAGGAACTCAGCAAACAGAGAGGTGATTAATTAAATCACATCTTCCCGCTAATTGAGCGTTATGCTGTAGTGAAGCTTTCTGCTTTTTTCAGGAACTGTAACAAAAATTTACAATAGACACACTCCTGTTCACCTTGATCTTTTTCACTCATTGTAGTATCTATGAACTTTCTGGAGGATTTTTTGGTCTCCTATCAAAACCTAACAGATTTCAAAAGTGAATGCCTGGTGAGTGCTATTAAAGGCACATCTTTTATCATTTTTCTCCCCAAGAACAGAGATTACTTGTGGAAGAGACATAGAACTGAAAATGATCTAAAGGGCTAATTCAGCAGGAGGTCTTTTTTTTTTTTTTTTTGAAATAGGCAGGAAACATGGGGTATTGTTTTGATAAGCTCCTATGAGTTGACAGTGCTCATCAGGACATGATTTTTGGAAATGATGGCAGTAAAAGATAAGAGTGTGTGAGTGGGATTGTACCTCTGTTTCATTATTCTGAATTGTGAAATACCTGATTAAATGAATGACTGAACCGCTCTTAGCAATGACATTAATAGATGGCACTACTTAATATTTCATATATTTGTTTCAATCTGTTAGATCAGGGATAGAATTAGCCTGGGTCCCTCTAATTATGTTCAATTTTAGAAAAACTGTGTTGCATCCAAAATCGCAGCCTCTGTCCATATGGAAAGAGTAATAAGCAACCTCAAGGCCTCCACGTGAGTTGAACTTAATTCCATTAAGTCGAATCCATATGGCCTTGCAAAGAAATATTAGCGAATCCAAAACTGCTTGATTCCAAGCTGCTAGTCCTCACCTTTTTACTACTCTTTTGTTTTCAATTCCACAGCTGTTCTAACGAGGTTTTCTGGAGCTTCCCTATAGAGGAGCATTCTATCAGGAAATCTCTCAGCCTTATGTCCGTTGCTTTCATCAAATCTCACAGCTCCTCACTCTGTGTATCTTCAGAACAGAACAATCTCTTTCAGCTCCGAGTTCTTTCTTTTTATTTCTGGTGCCTTTCCAAATAAAACCTGGCCAAGGATGCTAGTCCCTAAGATTCCTTTCCACATCCCTAGGGAAGCAGGACTGCCCTGGTGGGAGATTGGTAAGGGTCTGCTGGAGATGGCATGGGAATACCACTACCACTTCCACTGGGGATGGGATGCTGGGAAGAAGGGGACGCAGCCCGCCATCCTGGGAAGAATGGGGGAGATCAGGTCTGGGTTTGCCCCTTGTGGCTCAACCCAATAACCACTGCAGCTGGAAAAAAACCAGACGGAGGATGGGAGACCACCCGGCAATCGCAAGAAGCAGTCCAGGTAGAAGAAAACATCTTGCTTTCAGACGTTATGGGTGCTCCATCACTGGAGGTTTTCAAGAAGAGACCAGACAGCCACTTGCCTGGAATGGTAGAGGGTTTCCTGCTTGAGCAGGGGGTGGACTAGAAGACCTCCAAGATCCCTTTCCACTGTTATTCTGTTTTAAAAAAAACTTCCCTTGCTCAGCCAAGACCCAGCAAGCAGCTGCTGCTGCTTCTTCGTCTTCTTTTTCTTCTTCTTCTTGTTCTTCTCCTCCTCCTCTTCTCCTTCTCTTTTTCTTCTTCTTCTTCTTCCTCTTGCTCTCTCTCTCCCCCCTCCCACCAAGCGCCCGACGAGTCCCCGCCCTTGCGCCTGCGCGCCCCGCAGCGCCCCCTGCCGCCGTCCGCGGGCAGCGGCGCCGCTGGTCCCCGTGTGACCCAGAGCCGCGCCGGGCGCCGAGCCCCGGATGCAGGAGGCCGGGCGGAGCGGGGACGTCATTGTTCCCCGACACGGGCGAAGCAGGAGGCGGAGGCGGAGCGGGCGGGCAGGCGGGCGGGCTGAGGCCAAGAGCGACCCGGCAGCGCCGAGCCAGGTAACTGAAGGCGGCGGGAAGCAGCGGGCCGCGCAGGAGGAGCGGCAAGGCGGGCGGGCAAAACACGCTAGGCCGCCGCCGCCGGCCTGCACAGCTCGGCCCGGCCCGGCCCGCCCCCCTGCTGAGGCTGAGGGAGCGCCCCCTCCCTCCCTCCCTGGCCCCGCCCCCTCCTGCCCATCCCCACGCGGGGGGGCTGCCAGGCGCCCTCGGGGGGGCGGAGGGACCCCTCCTCCTCTGGGTCCGGGGGGGGCGCTTCGGGGAGGGAGGGGGGTCTCCACGCGCCGGGCGGGGGTCTCGCCGCGCTGCCCCCCCCCGCGTGGTTTGGCGGGCTCCCTCCGCGCGGTCCTCCTCCTCGCCCCCGCCCGGCCTGCAGATGGGGAAGGCATCCTCGCCGCCGGGGATGATGGGCTGCGCAGGGCGAGCCCCGGGCCGGGGGAAGAGCGGGAGGGGGGTCCCTCTGGCCGGCCGCTGACCTTCCTCCCCCCCCTGCCGCTGGCTGGCTGGCTCACCTGCCGCAGTGAACAATGAGCCCACCTGGATCGCGGGGTTTGGGGGTGGGGGGGTGCATGGCGGGGATTGGTCCTGGTTGCCGTCCGCGTTTCTGGCGCGGGTGGGAGCCCCGCGTGGGGGGCTCGGCCGGCGGAGCCTCCTGGAGAGACGGCCTGGGGCTTCGGTGGGAGAGGCGCCGCCCGGGCTGCGTCCGTCCTGGGCTGCGGGTCCACGGAGCGGGCACAAAGGTCTGCAGGGGGAGATTGTGATGGCGAAGGGAGAGAGACCTTGTGTGCAGAGGGAGATCTTGTTTGCAGAGAGACATCTCGTTTGCAGAGAGAGATCTTGTTTGCAAGGGGAGATCTTGACGGCAAAGGGCGAGAGACCTTGTTCGCAATCTTGATTGCAAAGAGATCTTGCTGGCAGAGAGAGATCTTGTTTGCAAGGGGAGATCTTGTTTGCAGAGAGAGATCTTTGTTGTTTGCAGAGGGAGATCTTGATTGCAGATCTTTCCTGACAGTTAGAACAATTAACCAGTGGAACAACCTGCCTCCAGAAGTTGTGAATTCTCCAACACTGGAAATTTTTAAGAAGAGACTGGACAGCCATTTGTCTGAAATGGGATAGGGTTTCCTGCCTGAGCAGGGGGCTGGACTAGAAGACCTCAACGGTCCCTCCCAACTATTATTATTATTATCATCATCATCATCTTGTTTGCAAAGAGCTTCTGGCCTGTTGGCTTGCTTGATAGAAGCATCCCTCCCTCCCTCTCTTTCTCTTCCCCTCTCCCTCCCTTTTTGTGGCTAAGTGAGACCGTTTTACCATCTTTCTTGTCACAGTTGTTAAAAGAATCACTGCAGTTTTTAGTAACACGGTTGTTAAGTGAATCTGGCTTCCCCAATTGACTTTGCTTGTTTAAAAAAAAAAAAAAAAACCCTGAGCCCGCAACACCACAACTGTCATAAACATGAACCCATTGCCAAGCATCCAGATTCTGATCAGGGGACCACGGGGTTGCTGCAACAGTCATAAGTGTGAAAACGGTCAGAGGTCACTTTTCCAATCCCGCTGTAACTTTGAACGGTCACTAAATGAACTGTTGTAAGTCGAGGACTACCTGTAATTGAGAACGGGATGGGGAATATAGTTTTTCCTTCCCACATAGGATACATGTCTCTCAAGGAAGGGCCTGTCAGATGCTTCTGTAACATTAATTTCCAGGACTAAAGGAAATTGACTTTTTATAGATGGTCTGCGTGCTTTCACCGTAGACTGATTACTTTTCTGAGTTGCTTAATAGAAATGTTAGCCTCTGTTGGCATAAACGATGCCTTGTAACCATGAAACTATGACCATAAATTTACCTTAAAAGTGCCCTCAAATACCCAGAATACTCTTTACAAATTAATTGCTTTTTCAAGGCAGGCCTGGGAGATCAGATCCGTTAAGAGAACCAGTTAACTTAGTTGTAAAAATCTGTGGTTAAATTGGATCAAAGCTGGAGGAGGCAAAAGAAGCACTTAAAAATGAATCAGTTTAGAATCAGAAGTAGAAGACCATGCCTTGTTTTACTTAAAAATAGAACTAGTGTCTTAAATTGGGAGGTTTTTTTGCCAGAAGTTCACATACATACACATCTAGGTCCCTAAAATAATTCTAGGTTTCTAATTAGAGATCTAATGTATTTTACCCTGGCATTTGTTTGATGGTAAGATGTGTTCTGTTGAGTTCCAGGTATGTTTTTTTTCCCCAAAGAGAATATAAATTTGACAATTAAATACATTTTAAAGACAAAGGTGAATCATTTATCTGTTGCTTACACTGTGATAATGGAAGGGACCTTGGAGATCATCTAGTCCAACCCATGCTTAGGCAGGAAATCCTATACCATTTCAGACAAATGGCTGTCCAATCTCGTCTTAAAAACTTCCAGTATTGTAGCACCCACAGCTTCTGGTGGCAAATAGTTCCACTGGTTAATTGTTCTCACTGTCAGGAAGTTTCTCCTTAGTTCTAGGTTGCTTCTCTCCTTGATGAGTTTCCACCCGTTGCTTCTTGTCCTGCCTTCAGGCACTTTGGAGAATAGCTTGACTGCCTCTTCTTTGGGGCAGCCCCTGAGATACTGGAAGACTGCTATCATGTCCCCCCTCATCCTTCTCTTCGTTAAACTAGACATACCCAATTCCAGCATTTGACTTTGCTTATCAAAATATCACCAAAGGGGGGGTGTCACATGACCCCAGGACACTGCAACCATCATAAATATGAGTCAATTGCCAAGTGGCCAAATTTTGATCACAACACCATGGGGATGCTGCAACGGTCTTAAGCATGGAAAACAGTCACCGGTCTCTTCTTTCAATGTTGTTGTAACTTTGAACGGTCACGAAACAAACCGTTATAAATAGAGCACTGCCGTTGAACCCACCTTGTTGTCTGCAGGCAAATTATCAGCTGTTGGCAACTCTGGGTTTTTCTCTTATTGCTAGTTTTGCTCCAGGCGCCTCCCGAATGCTCTGCTGGGCCTGGGTAGTTTTTTTCTCCTCCAAATGAATTTTGGCTTGTTGTCTTCTTTGCTGATGTTTTGTTTTGTGTGTGTGTGTTTTCCCTGTAAACAAATTTCCTAGATGACTTGCAAGCGAACTCTTAACCAGCAATTCCATAATAGGCTCCTTTTGTAAAACGAGGCCCTTCTCATGTCCAATTTGCCTCTTTTTGTACATTACACCTTTTCCTAGTTAATGGGAGAAGCAGAATTCTGCTTGAGATGTGCTTTCATTGCTATTCAGATGAAGAGCAAACAGCCTCACGCAGGAAATGAGTAAATCCTTGAGCATGTTGGTGCAGAGGCTCCTCTTTTCGGTGTGATTTTTGTGCTGTGATTGTGCAATTGGGGTAATTTGAGCTTTATCATTCCGTGAAGGAAATGTGATTTAATAAGGATTTCTGAGAGCGTGCTGTTTTTCTAAAGCGAGGAGAGCTGTTGTATGTTACTTTACTCGCTCTTACTCCTCTGAAAAAGCCTTCCACTATCCATCCTTTCTCAATCAAACCACAGGCCTTTTATTAGTTGAGCATCAGGAAGCTTGAAAAGTTTTTCTTGATTTCACAGTAAGAATGGAAGAAACTGCTTTGCGCTGGAGCAGATCGCTGGTCCTTCTAACCTGACTTTCGAAGGCGATCAAAGGATGCTTTTCCAAGAATTCTGGAGTTTTCCCAGCTCAACCTGGAGATGCCAGAATCTCACATTTCTGCTCGGAAAGGAGGTGTTTTGCGAGCAAGCCAGGATCCCTTCTCCTTGCATCTGCAGAGGGATCCATTTCGGGAAATGATCATTCATATCGAAATGAGCAAGCGCTCCATCTCGCAACGGCTTAAAACAAGAGTGTCCAACCTTGGCAACTTTTAAGATTCATGGACTTCAACTCCCAGAATTCTTCATCTAGCATAGCTGGCTGGGGAATTCTGGGAGCTGAAGTCCACAAGTCTTAAAAGTTGCCAAGGTTGGACACCCCTGACTTAAAAGCTGAGCTACAATCTAAACAAACCCTCACCCCCCCCCCATGAGGTTCACTAGTAATCTGACAGCAATCATCCCTCAGCTTGCCTTCAGGAAATTGAATTATTATAAAGAGGAATTAAACTCCAGCCTTCTTTCCTTTTTCAGCCCCAGGGTCTGCTCTATAAGTTTAAATATTAATAAATAGGCTTAAAACAATGAGTCACCCTTAACTACCTCCCCACCCCAATTAGAGAAAAAAAGGGGGGGGGATCTTTATACAAGCAAGCTTATATGTTGGTTCTGCTGCTAGTTCTTCAGTTTTAAAAATTGCAGTTCTTTGATAGTGGGTTACTTTACACATATTTTAGCTTTAGTGGGCCAGGGTAACAACCAGGGTGCCTTCTTTAGGCCAGAAGCACCAATTGCACCAATATTTACTTATTTAACCAATTTATATGACCAGCTACTTACAATGTGCCCTACACCGGCTTGAAGCTCTTGAAGCATATCTGAAGGCAACAGCTGGTCAAAATGCGGACAAGAATGGACACTCCTCATTATACCTACAGGACATGGTTGCTTTGTGTGCTGTACAGTAATCCTCAATTTGTGACACACAATCGAGTCCCAGATTTCTGTCGTTAAGCGAGACAATTGTTATTGCCCCGTCATACCACCTTTCTTGCCCCAGTGTTAAGTAAATTTTCTGCAGTTGTGAAGTCGGCAACACGGTTGCTAAGTAAATCTGGCTTCCCCATTGACTTTGGTCGCAAAAGGGGATCACCTCATCCCGGGATCCTGCAGCCATTACAAATAACGAACCAACTGCCAAGCGCCCAAATTTTGACGAACACAGGGATGCTTGCGACGGTTGTATCCGGCTTAGGACCACAACTGAGCCCCAAATGTTCTGCTGCTAAGCGAGACAGCAGTGTTCAGATGCTTGACAGCTGACTCACATTTATGTCGGTTGGCAGCATCCCCGGGGTCACGCGATCCCCTTGGGCAGTTTTCTGACCAGAACTAAGTCAACGGGGAAGCCCAATCGACTTAACAACCGTGTTACTAATTTAACATTTGTGAGAAAAGTCGTAAGGCGGGGCGAAGCTCCCTTAACAAATTTCCCACTTAGCGGCAGAAACGTCGGGCTCAACTGTGGTCGTAAGCCGAGGTCCAAAGGCTGTTGTGCATCCGTTTATCCTCTGGCTCTTGGCCTGGAAGGGAAGCGTGAGTTAGGTGTGCGAGGGTTCCAAATGGGGGCTGGGCTGTTCTTGGGTAAACTGACAGAATATTAGGTTGACCAGTAAAACCTGGTGGCCTGCCTTAGTCCGGATGTTGACTTTCTCTAATGGCCACTACTAAACCATCGTAAATCGCCTTCTGCTGTCACAGAGATCACGGCCGCTTCTTTGGGAAATCAAGTTAAATATTCAAGTGGCTCTTGGCTAAGAGCGGTCATTTAACAGCCATTGAAAGTTTCAATTGATTAAAAAAAAAAACTGGTCAAAATTAGGACCATGGTCACACGATCAAGTTACTGGCACCGGGCAACCGGCTCGCATTTACGACCAGTTGTGGCTTTGTGTAACCGCAATTTACAGTGTTTTGGGGTGATTTCTGGCACAAGATCCGGTTTAAAGGAAAGGATTTGCCTTCAGGACCACATGGTTGCTTAACGATCCTTTGGTGACTGCCGTTAACATGATCACAAAGAGAAGCTTAATATCAAGTCCGGTCGCTGGCAACAGCTTTTGGCTGATACTTTGGTCTTTGCTATGGTTGTAAGTCTGTATTCGGGGTAAAAGGACGAGAGTTTGTGTGTTTCATATTATTTTATTGATGTTACTAAGTTACTGGAACCGGGGATCCCTCTGGCCAGCTGCTGACCTTCCTCTTCTTCCCCCCCCCACTTACTTACCTGCCACAGCAAAAAATAACCACCTGGATCGGGTTGGCGGGGAGAACTGGTGAAGATTTGTCTTGGTGCAATCCACGTTTCTCCCATCAGTGGTGGGCAGGAGCGATTCTGAAAGTTGCCCTCCGGCTTTGCTCGGGAGTGTGCGTCCATCTTGGGTTTTATTATTCTAGGTCTTTACTGGGTAAAAGGATGAGCCTTTACTAGCAGCTGCAGCATCGCCTAACCATAATTTACTATCTTTTGGGGTGATTTCTGGCAAAAAGAACAATAACCCCACACCCATTTAAGAGAAAGGATTGGCCTTAGGGACCATGAGGTTGCTTAACAATCCTTTGGTGACTGCTGTTAACAGGGTCATAAAGAGAGGCTTAATATTAAGTCCAGCCACTGGCAACAGCTTTTGACTGATACTTTGGTCTTCCTAGCGGTTGTAAGTCTGTACTGGGGCTAAAAGGATGATGAGGTTTTGTTTAACTGTGTGTATCATATGATTTTATTGATGTTACTAAGTTACGGGTGGTACAAATCTCCACAGTAGTGTTTATAATATCTAGTTGGAAGTCATTTGCGGGGGGGGGGGGGGTTGGTTCTTGGTTTTTTTTTTTTAAATAATGCTATTTTAAAATTAACAACATTGAGTTGTTGGAGGAACTAGCCTCCATAAACTTTAGTTAAGTTTTGGTGTTTTTTTTTTAACGCCTACTGCTGTTTCAAAACTATTAGAAGACTCTCAGTAGCCCGAGTGCTGAAAACAAAATGATACAGAATAAGCAAGTTGAAAGGGACCTTGGGAGGCCTTCTAGTCCAACCCCCTGGCTCAGGCAGGAAATCCTCTACCATTCCAAATAAGTGGCTGTCCAGTCTCTTCTTCAAAATCTCCAGTATTGGAGCACCCACAACCTCTGGAGGCAAGCCATTCCACTGATTAATTGTTCTCCTTCTCAAGAAATTTCTCCTTAGTTCCAGGTTGCTTCTCTCCTTGTTTAGTTTCCATCCGTTGCTTCTTGTCCTGTCTTTTGGTGCTTTGGAGAATAGATTGATTGAACCCCCCCTCTTCTTTGTGGCAGCCCCTCAAATATTGGAACACTGCTATCATGTCACCCCTAGTCCTTGTTTTCGTTAGGGTAGACCAGGGTTAGGCAACCTTGGCTCTTTTATGGCTCGTGGACTTCAATTCTGGGAGTTGAAGTCCACGAGTCATAAAAGAGCCAAGGTTGCCTACCTCTGGGCTAGATAAACCCAATTCCTGCAACCGTTCTTTATATGTTTAGCCTCCAGCCCCCTAATCATCTTTGCTATTCTTTTCTGCACTCTTTCCATGCTGGCTGGGGGGTTCTGGAAGTTTGAAGTCCACCAATCTTGAAGTGCCAAGGTTGGAGACCCCCTCATGTAGAGGAAAAGAGACTGTGTTTTTCTCTAATAATAATAATAATAATAATAGTATTAATAATAATAATAAAGTTGGAAGGGACCTTGGAGGTCATCTAGTCCTGCTCAGGCAGGAAACCCTATGCCATTTCAGACAAATGGCTGTCCAGTCTCTTCTTAAAACCTTCCAGTGTTGGAGCATTCACTGCTTCTGGAGGCAAGTTGTTCCACTGGTTAATTGTTCTATCAGGAAGTTTCTCCTGAGTTCTAGGTTGCTTCTCTCCTTGCTTAGTTTCCCTCCGTTGCTTCTTGTCCTGCCTTCAGGCGCCTTGGAGAATAGCTTGACTCCCTCTTCTTTGGCGCAGCCCCTCAAACATTGGAACGAACCGAATCCTCTTTCCTCGCCGCTCCGTTGACTCGAGTATTTCTCTGAAGTCTGGAAGTTCTGGACCGCAGCGAGTTGAATAAGGACCGCTCTGCTTCTTCTGTTGCGTGCTCAGGATTTTTCTTTTTCTCTGTCTCTTTTCTTTTCCAGAGATGAACCATGACCATAGTTGACAAGACGGCCGAGTCCTCCAAGGCCTCTGCTTCTGAGAAGCAACCTTTCAACTCCGTGGCGCCAGCTTCCGGTGACATGGACTCGGGCTCGGCAGGATGGGTCGCTGTGTCTTCTTCGTTAGAGGCTCCAAAACACAAGAGCTCAATGGGGCCAGTGCCAGGAGCCGCCCTGTATTCCAGCACATCGGGACCAGATAAATGCAAGCCTTCCGCCAAAGAGCTGGGTAAGTGATGAAACGGCGTTTGAAAGCCCAGGGAACCCCTGTTAAATGACGATGTGAGGCGTCCTTGGCGCTCTCTGAGCTTCCTTCTTTTCATTACCCTACTAGGTCACCTCATCAGTGCTAGAAGGGGGTAGGATATATGGAGAGGAGGAGGGAAGGAGGTGGAGGTTTAGATAATAATAATAAAGTTGGAAGGGACCGTGGAGGTCATCTAGTCCAACCCCCTGCTCCGGCAGGAAACCCTATACCATTTCGGACAAATGGCTGTCCAGTCTTTTCTTAAAAACTTCCAGTGTTGGCGCCTTCACCGCTTCTGGAGGCAGGTTGTTCCCCTGGTTAATTTTTCTGACTGTCGGGAAGTTTCTCCTTAGCTCTAGGTTGCTTCTCTCCTTGATGAGTTTCCATCCATTGCTTTTTGTCCTGGCTTCAGTTGCTTTGGAGAATAGCTTGACTCCCTCTTCTTTGGGGCAGCCCCTGAGATACTGGAACACTGCTATCATGTCCCCCCTCGTCCTTCTCTTCATTAAACTAGACATACCCAATTCCAGCAACCGTTCCTTATATGTTTTAGCCTCCAGTCCCCTGATCATCTTTGTTGCTCTTCTCAAAGATTTAGGAGGAGAAGGGGAAAGTCTGTGGGGTTCTTGGCACTTTCTGAGCTTGGTTCTTTTCTTGCAGACATTTCGCCACCAAACTAGGTAACATCATCAGTGTTAGAAGAGGATGGGGTTTGCAGAGAGGAGGAGGACGACGACAGTGGGGTCCTTGGTGCTCTCTGAGCTTGGTTCTTTTCTTGCAGACATTTCATGACCCAGCTAGGTAACATCATCAGTGCTAGAAGAGGGTGTGTGGAGAGGAGAAGGGGAAGGACTATGGGTCCTTGGTGCTCCCTGAATTTTTCCAAACTCTCAACATCTTTTTTGTGATATGGTGACCAAAATTGGCTGCAGTATTCCAGGTGTGGCCTCACTAGGGTTTTATAAAGCGGCACTAATCTTAACAACTGTGGCAAGAACGGTCGTAAAATGGGGCAAAGCTCACTTAACAACCTCTTGCCTCAAAGAAAGGTCAGGCTCCATCCTGGTCATAGGTTGAGGACGACCTGGACCCAGTTAGTTCCTGAGAAGCTCCTAGTTTAGGGGTAGGCAACCTTGGCTCTTTTATGACTCCTGGACTTCAACTCCCAGAATTCCTGAGCCAGCCACGCTGAGGGGAAAGGGAGAGGTTTCCAAGCTGAGCCACGTTGGCTGAGGAATTCTGGGAGTTGAAATCCATGAGTCATGAAGGGGCCATAGTTCCCCCATGCTGGCTGAGGAATTCTGGGAGTTGAAGTCCACAAGCCATAAAGGGGGCCATAGTTCCTCCATGCTGGCTGAGGAATTCTGGGAGTTGACGTCCACGAGTCAAAAAAGAGCCAAGGTTCCCCACCCCTGTCCTAGTTCATCCAAGAAAAGGGGCGTGGGAGACCCACCCTGTGTGTTGACTTTTGAATTGTGCCTCCGCCTGATTTTTTCTTCTTCTTCCTAATCGCTAATTATTTCCTGATCTCTGACTTCTGACAGTGATCGGTGACGGGATCGCAGCCCCCCAGAAAGTCCTTTTCCCAGCAGAGAAAATTTGCTTAAAATGGCAAAAGATGCATCGGGTCGGGGCTGGTCTCCAAAACCTGGGCAACACCTGTTTTCTGAACTCTGCTCTGCAGTGTCTGACATACACCCCTCCCCTGGCCAACTACATGCTCTCCTACGAACACTCCAAAACCTGTGAGTAGTTTTAGGTTTTCTTTTCCTAATTGTTTAAAAAAGGAAAGCTTGCACCGGAACGCACCTTCTGCAGAGGGTGGTTCCTTTGTCGGTGTGTGTGTGTGTGTGTGTGTGTGTGTGTGTGTGTGTGTGTGTGTTGCATCTGTTTTTCTCCCCAAAAACAGCAAGGCCAATATCTATACGGGCAGTCCTCCAGTTACGACTCTAATTCAGCCCAGAATTGAGGGTTGTAAGTTGTGCTGGTAGCTAAGCAGTTCGCCCACTTGACCGCTCCTGATTTTATAACCCTTTCTGCAGCGGTCATTAAGTAAATTGCTGCAGTTAGCGAACGCTGCCGTCGTTCAGCAAATCCATTGTCTAGCAACGGGCAGAAATTAAATTAAAGCTGATTTCCAGCAAAAAAACAAACAACCCACCCAACGACTATGAATTGTGATCACACAATCACGGGATGCTGCAAAGGTGGGCCAGTTGTCAAGTGCCCAAAATGCGATCACAGGATCATGGAGGTGGGTGGGTGGGGCATCAGACCTTCAGATCCAGGCCTTAACCCTGAAGAGGTCTGTTGTAACTTCAAGCGGTCATTAAGAGACTGGTCAAGGACTACTCCATTTAGCAATATATTGTTAAATATTTTCACAGCTGTATAGGTCACACATAGAATTCCCTTGCTTCCTGGAGGTGGGTCTTGTTTTAGATCAGGAGTCTTCAAACTTGGCCCTTTTATGACTTGTGGACTTCAACTCCCAGGTTTCCTCTGCCTGGCTGAGGAATTCTGGGAGTTGAAGTCCACAAGTCATAAAAGGGCCAAGTTTGAAGACCCCTGTTTTAGATCCTATTTATTCCATCAGTCAGTGATCCTTCCTATTGTGTTGTCTCTTATATGACCCCAGTTTCCTCTTCTCCCCCCCACCTTTGTTTCTTGTTTTAGATTGCCCGAAGTATTATTGTTTGCCAAATGTGCATGTTTCCTAATGGGATACATCTCTTTTTGTTTTCCCCTTTGCCTGCAGGTCATGAACAAGGATTTTGCATGATGTGCACCATGCAAGGTCACATCAACCAAGCTCTTTCCAATTCCGGCACCGTCATCAAGCCGATGTCTGTCATAAATGATCTTAGACGTAAGTTTCTCCCAACATCGGCATGCACGTTTTGATCTGCGTTGGCCACTAAAAATTCCAGGGAAAAGCTTTGTGCTCCTGTGAATCTCTCTTCCTTAAATTTCCCTCTCCCTCAGAAAGATGATAATCTTTATTGTCACTTATTTCAGTGAATACATTGGCACACGTTAAAAAAAATGAAACTCTATTGCCCGCTCTCAAAAGAAAATAGCTATAGAACCATATACATACATGCACCCGCTATACATATGCTATAAATATACATGCACACTCATATGCACACATATATATTAATCACAATCCATTTTGAATATACAGCGGAAAAAAGAATCTTGAGAGTCAACAAGGTTGTTACTCTATGGTACCAAGCTAATACAGAATCTAGTTCTGCTTCAGATAGCACGAATTGCACTCTGCCTTTAGTAGATTATCCTGCACCTGGGTTTTTGTTTTATTTATTTTTTTAATTGTAAATTTATTTGCTGCCCATTTCAACCACAAGGTGACTCTGGGCGGCTTACAGTGTTAAAAACGAGCCAAACAATGCAACATTATGAATATAATGGGAGCAAAACACTATAAAAATGGGGTTGGTTCAGCCTCAGCGATCTGATCTGAACTTCAGTTTTTGTTTCTTTACGAAAACGATCACAAGACATACAACGTGCTCTTCTCCTTTACTTACTAGGAATAGCAAAACATTTCCGTTTCGGTAATCAGGAAGATGCCCACGAATTCCTAAGGTACACGGTTGATGCCATGCAGAAAGCATGTCTGAATGGTAGCAACAAGTAAGTGGCCGTTCATATATTTTTTCCCTGATTATTTTCATTCAGGGATAGATGTTTTTAAAAGTTTCATCTTGATCTGCCTCTGTGTTTTTAGATTGGACAGACATACCCAGGCCACCAGTTTTATTCACCAGATATTTGGAGGATACCTCAGATCTAGAGGTAAATATATTTCACTATCTCCTCCGTTCTTTGAATATTTATTTGAAGTTCATTGAGAATTATTTAAAAGTTCACTGAGAACATTCCATTTTATTTTATTTTTTACTTTTATCGTATGTTAAACCTGCTCCTTTTTTTTTTTTAAATTTCAGTAAAATGTATGAACTGCAAAGGTGTTTCAGATACGTTTGATCCCTATTTGGATATTACATTGGAAATAAAGGTACATTTTGGGTTTCTTTACTGCTTTGTTTGTTTGTTTTTTGCAAATACTTAAGTATACTTAGCGCAATGCATTTGTGAAGGGCATTATTTTGCAGATGTATTTTTTTATTTGTGTCAGAAGCATCACGATTAAAATAAGGCATACGATGTAACGTAAAATTCAAAATATGAAATATAAGATTAAAATATGTACAAATTAAACAGATCTTGCCCAGAAGCTAGCAAGATTAATTGCGTTCTGTCACATTGGCATGAGCCCCTTAAGTGTACACTAATCGGGACACAAAGGGCGGATATACTTATGTGTTGTTGTCTGCCTGTCACCACAATTGCAAAGAACTTTGTCATTAGTTAAGGCATAACTTAACTGTGGATCTTTGTTCCTGAGGCTGCTTTTTTCACAGTAGATCGCAAGAACAAATCTAGACGTTCTTGTAAACCCTGGTGACATCCTACTGCAGGGGTCCCCAACCCCCTGTCCGTGGACCGGTACCGGCCCATGGCATGCCGGCAACCGATCCGCACACACAAGCAAAGCCCCATCCACGAGATGCAGGCAGCACACAAAACCACGCACCCTCCAGTCCACGGAAAAACCTCTTTCCACAGAACCGGTCCCTGGTGCCCAAAACGTTGGGGACTTCTGTCCTGCTGGACTAGATCATAACACCCATCTAATCTGAGCCCCAGCATCCTAGACAAGTGTTTCTCAACTTTGACAATTTTAAGAAATGTGGACTTCAACTCCCAGAATTCCCCAACCCAGAATTCAGCATGTGTGTTTGTGTGTGTGTATGTGTTTTTTTCTCCCTTCCAGTCAGCTCAAAGTGTCAACAAAGCTCTGGAGCAGTTTGTCAAGCCTGAACAGCTGGATGGAGAAAACGCGTATAAGTGTAGCAAGTAAGAATGAGAATTCATATGTTTTATAATCCATTGATTGATTGCTCTCCTACGTCTGGCATGGTTATAGAACCTTTTATTTAATGCCAAAGTGGTTTTGCTATGCTATAGTTTATTTAGCAAGGGATGGTACATAGTAACTATCAGTTTTGCCCTGGGTTTGCTCCTTAAATGCACGTTGACATCCTTTGAGGATTATTGAAAAGAGGGTGAGTCTTAAGAGTGGAAGGAAAAGAAGAATGATTGGATTTCTCTTTCATATCTTTAAGAAAATCTAAATCTGTTTTCAGGCACCAATTACCAAATAGAAAGTAGTTGGGTGAACTTCCGGAAATGGTCAATGTGCGGGGTGGGGGAAAAAAAATCTTAAATCTCCTTTATGTTTTAGATGTAAAAAAATGGTTCCTGCATCCAAGAGGTTTACGATACATCGGGCTTCCAATGTCCTCACCTTGTCCCTCAAACGGTTTGCAAATTTCAGCGGCGGCAAAATCACCAAGGTAAACGCAGCCCTGTAGCAGTGTAAATAAAATGCAGGTGGGCCTCAGCTTAACAGTTCATTTAGTGACCGTTCGAAGTTACAACGACACTGAAAGAAGTGACTTACGAACGGTTTTCACACTTAACCACCACTGCAGCATCTCCACGTTCACGTGATCAAAATGTGGATGCTTGGCAACTGGGTGACAATCCGTAACAAGAGGTTCTTCTAAGGAAGACATCACAACACGCACCGCCTTCTCCATATAGCTAAGCAGTGTCCTGGACTCACGTGACCCCCCTTTTGCAACTCTTCGACAATCAGCGTCAAGGGAGACGCCAGACTCACTTAGCAACTGGGTTATTAGCTTTAAAAATTGCAGTGATTCATTTAACAACTGTGACAAAAAAGCTCATAAAATAGGGCAAAATTCACTTAACTGCCTCGCTTAGCAATATAAGTTCTGGGCTCAGCTGTGATCATAAGCCGAGGACTGCCTGCAAAGCACCCTGCCCAGCTGAGAATTAAACCAGATAAAGGATTGTATAAAAAAAAGGGTTTTGAGTTAAACGAACTAGTGCTTAGAAGAGGGGGCTGTGTGAGATGCTGGGGAGGGGGGTGTCCACTCATTTGTGGCATTTTCCCAAACATAATTGTGTGAACTGATGTTCTTTGTAGAGATGAGCGTAAAAGTTTTAATATTTTTTATGAGGTTGCTTTTCTCTCTGCTTTAAATTGGATTCTGGGTGCAAACTCAATAGTGCCCCTCTCTCTCTCCTCTGGATTAGGAAGTGAAATATCCTGAATATTTGGATATCCGGCCGTATATGTCCCAACCCAATGGAGAACCAATAATTTATGCACTTTATGCAGTGCTCGTCCATACCGGCTTCAGCTGTCACGCTGGGCATTATTACTGCTACATAAAGGTAAACATGTTTTTATCTTTCTCATCTTAACCGTTTTCAGACGCTCAAGAAGTTGTTTCAGAGCAGGTGACCATTTTATTATGATGAGTTACAATTTGAAATGGGCGAGGGCAACAGAACGTGGTCCAAATTGCTATCCTAATGAAGAGTACTTGATTCCACTCATCCATAACTGTGAGGACATTGCTATGGGAGGAAGGAGCAAACATAAAACCAGTGTAAAATGTAAAGACCCAGGTCTAATTGTTTTAAGGCAGTGTTTGTCAACCTTGCGTGCTGGCTGGGGAATCCACACCACTTCAAGTTGCCATGGTTGAGAAACATAGCTTTTAAGATAATTCTTGCGCTCCAGAAATTTGCGCTTACTTTTAGACTTAAAACCTAAGGCTATACGAGTCTGTTTTTTCTTTCTGTAATCCTTTCCTTTCTGCTGCTGCTAAACAAAATTATTTCATTGTTTAGTACAGTATGTATTTCACTAAAATCCAGTAGAGGGTGCCGTTTATCCTCCCACTGGCTTTTTAAAAAAATAAAAAAGCCTTTTATTTTTCCAATTAAAATTGATCCGAAGAACATAGCTGCCTTTCCTGATTTTCTGTATTGTCATCCGGAGCATATACGGAAGCGTCTGAGAGGGTAATGCATCTTTAAGAATGCATGACTGTATTTTCCTGCAAAAATAATGGAGGGCTTTAAAACAGGCTGGGCCTCCTTGCAGATCCAACATTGACACTGACCAGCCATGTAGCATCTGTGACATGGAAGAATTTTTATCTATTTTGGCTGACCACCAGTTACACCCCCTCCTAGAAGAGAAACATCTGGTGGGACATAGTTCTAAATGAAGCATGGGCTTGGTTAAAAATAAAATCCCCCAGTTTTATTTTTAAAAAATGTCTCTTGATATTTATCTCGGTGGGAGCCATCGGCATTCTTCAAACTAAAGAAGGCGCAAGGAGATTGGAATTATTCACTTATTTTATTTAGCACATGGCATCAACAGAGGTCATGCATACAACACTAACAAGACACATACATGCAAAAACAAATATACGTTTAAATAAAGCATCAGCAAGTACACACACACACACGTCTGGATGGATGGAGATAGATAGATAGGTAGGTAGGTAGGTAGGTAGATAATATAGTTGATTGTTAGATTACAGAGAGATTAGGTAGGTAGATAGGTAGATACATAGGTAAGAAGAGAGAAAGATGATGGATGAATGGATGGATGTAGGCGGACAATACAATAAATGAGATAAAATATTAAGGTAAAACCATGATAAAATCACCATGCTATGGCACCATAGAATCGCATAGGATAGATGTTATAATTTGATATCTAAGGAAGCTAATCATCTAAGATGTGAGATGGAGGTTGGGATATTGATTTGCCTCATGTTGGAGGATGGATTTACAGACAATAATTTTTTGCTCTAATTCATTTTTTATTTTTTTTTTAGGCCAGTAACGGGCAGTGGTACCAGATGAACGATTCCACTGTTTCCAACAGTGACATCAGGACTGTATTAAACCAACAAGCCTATGTGCTCTTCTACATCAGGTAAAGCCAAGCACTCAAAGGTAGATTTTTTTCGATCCTTGGCACCGGGACCCGCCTTGCATTATTGCCCCATCTCTGGTGTGCCACAAATGGCAGAGTCACTCCCCTTTCTCGGTGACAAAGAAGGATGCCGCCCTAAGAAAAAGAATCTTACGGTGGTTTGCAAAAAGGGAAGTTAACATCATGTGCCTTTTTTTTATTAGGACCCACGACTTGAAAAACGGTGCCGAACACATTCATTCAGTTCACACACCGGGACAGTCTTCTCCCCGACCAGTTATCAATCAGCGGGTGCTCAGTAATAAACAGAGTACTCCAGGATTTATCGGACCTCAGCTCCCTCCACACATGGTGAAGGTAAGTCAAGAGGCATCTACCAAGCTGTTTAGAGCAAGGGTCCCCAACCCCTGGCCCATGGACCAGTACTGGGCCATGGCCTGCCAGCAACCGGTCCGCACAAACAAGCAAAGCCCCATCCACAGGATGCAGGCAGCACACAAAACCACCACCCCCTCCGGTCCGTGGAAAAACCTCCCTCCACGGAAACGGTCCCTGGTGCCCAAAAGATTGAGGGCCTCTGGTTTAGAAAGCCAGGGTTTAATTTGAGAAAGTTTCTTATAATCGCTCCATCTACATCAGTGGTTCTCAACCTGTGGGTCGGGACCCCATTTGGGGTCGAACGACCATTTCACGGGGGTCGCCAAACAACGCAGTCCGCCATTTTTTCCCCCCTTTTCCTTAGCTGTGCTACTCCCTTTTATTCTATTGGCTTTTGAAAGCCAAAATAGAATAGACTCTCTTGAATAGAGTCTAATTCTATTGGCTTTCAAAAGCCAATAGGAATTGTCCAGGCTGTCTCTGCCCTGCTGAGCCCGCCAAAAGTCCCATTCTGCAAACGGTGCTGCACCAGGTGAGTAGTCCTCGACTTACGACCGGTTGAGTAGTCCTTGACTTACGACTGGTTGGGGGTCGCGGCATTAAAAAGGTTGAGAACCACTGATCTACATCTTATGCCTGGGAATAGATCTCTTATTTTCTGTTTCTTTTTTTTTCCTTCCTCCTTTTGTATAATTGCAGAATTCGAACCATTTGAACGGAACCGGATCCCTGAAGGAAACCCCCAGCAGTACAGTGGCCATTTCTACCAGCGCTTCCCTCGTCAAATCTCCTTCGGCCCCTTCCTTGTCCATCTCCAAGTGGACCATGAACCGGTCAGCCACAGCCGCCGGCCCCCCAGATTCCTCCAAGAAGCCAAAACTCACCCTCAGTATTCACAACAACAAACTACCCGCTCGCCAAAGCATCTCTCACACCAGCTGCACGGTCGAGACCCTCAGCAAGCCTGCCCCTTCCTCCACCATTTCTAACCCTTCCGCAGTGCAGTCTACCTCAAGCAGCTCCACCGTCTCCTCGGCCGCTAACCAAGTCTCCAAGCCGAATACCCCGGGCAAATCCGGTTCCAAGCTGATCATGAACGGCAAGGCCAAGCACAGCGCCAGCATCCTGGTCCCTTACGGAGCGGAATCCTCCGAAGATTCGGAGGAGGAATCCAAAGGGCTGCTGAAGGAGAACGGCCACCTCAAAGTGCCCAACGGCATTTTATCGGAAAACACGGCCGGCGGGCTGGAGAACTCCTGCTTGTCCTGCCACAAGCCAGAGAAGGAAAGCCCCCAACCCGAATTGCCCCAGAACGTCACCGTGATGCTCTCCATCAGCCTAAACGAGGCCCCGAAGCAGAACGGGCAAATAAGCAATGATTCCACCTCCCAAGGGAAGCTGGCGAAGTTGGCAGACCGCCCCTTTCCCAAAACCAACGGCTTGCCCGGAAAAGTGAGTGGGTTTCTCGGAAAGGCGGGTAGTCCTCAACTTACGACAATTGAGCCCCATAATTTCAGTTGATAAGCGAGACACTCATTAAGTGAGTTTTGCCCTATTTTAATGGCCTTTCTGGCACAGTGGTTAAGTTGAATCACGGCCGTTGTTAAATTACTAACCCAGTCGCAAAAGGGGATCGCGTGACACACACACACACACACACACACACACACACACACACACACACACTGCAAACCGTCATAAATACGAGCCGGTTGCCAAGCGTCCGAATACTGATCACTTGAGCCTGGGGGGGGGGGTTGCTGAGACGGTCGTATGTGTGAAAAATGGCCAAAGGTCACTTTTTTCAGTGATTACAATTTTGAACAGACACTAAACGGATGGTTATAAGTTGAGGACTATCTGTACTCATAGCTCTTCCTTCTTTGACTTTGAGATAAGGTTTGGGGCACCTGAATTGGAAAGGAAAAGGCAGAACTCAACGCTTAAACACTTAAATGCTGGCTTCCCACACAAAGGGTTTATCCCTTCCTTCTTCCAAGAAAAATTGGAAAAGGCTACAAAACTAGGTGATGGTTGAACTATTCTAGATCCAGAGGGAAGCCCTGGCCCTGTTCTTCTTCCAGTTGAGGGTTACACTCTCCTTGGGAGCAAATCACACATGCAGGTTTTGCCAGCACACTGGAGTGGGGTCTTGGATTTTGTACTGGAGTCTAGAGTCTAGACCGGGATAGGCAACCTTGGCTCTTTTATGACTCGTGGACTTCAACTCCCAGAATTCCTGAGCCAGCCACGCTGAGGGGAAAGGGAGAGGTTTCCATGCTGAGGCTCAGGAATTCTGGGAGTTGAAGTCCACAAGTCATAAAAGAGCCAAGGTTGCCTACCCCTGGTTCTAGACCATTCAGTCCGCTTGCTTGGTCCTCTCCTTGTGTTAATCTTCTCCATTCTGAATTTACAGGATTCTCCAAAAGCTTTGTCCTCCGTCCCTGAAGGGGAAGTCTCAGATTCCTTCAGATACAAGCAGTCGAAAACCTTGCCCGGGGACTCCAGGTAGAGCAATCTTCCTTTATTCTAACTGTATTTTGAATTTTAAAAGGCAGATGACATATCTCAGCCTATTTCCTTTCTGTTTTTATTACATTTTCCCCGTTTCTCCCACTTAGGAACATGAATTTATATTTTGTAAAAGCAAAATAGCTACGCTCCAGTTTCAAAAACAAACTACGACCCGTTTATTGGACTAAAGTTTACTGCTTTCACTATGATAATGATTTACCTGATTTTGTTAAAAGGGAAGCGTTGGCTTCCATTCCGATGGAGGGAGCTGCACCTTTGGAAGGCACGCTTTCTGCTTTTCAAAAATAGACAGCATGCATTTTCTAGACTAAGGCCTACTCTTGGCAGATTTTATAAACTCTTTTATTAAGTTGCTTATAGTTCTTTAAATTGGAATGGCCACCTTCATTGAGTTGAGACTTGCAAGTCACGGTCTTAACTTCTTCACCGTGTGTCCTGTTCCTTTGCTGGTCAATTCTTCCTGCCTGATCTCAGAAACTGAGGGAATCAGGGCTGAAGCAAGCGATTTGAGATAAGAAACAAAAACAGGTTCCCAGGCCGGCATTTTAATCTGTTTGCCTTTGAAGAAAAAGAATCTCCATGTCTTTGAGCCCTTTTGTGCTAAAAGATTTTGGACCAGATAGAATTGTATCTTGTGATATGAAAAAAAAAACAAAAAAACAAGCTATTTTTGACAAGATAACCTTGTTAATGTGCCTCACAAAATCTACATTGGCGGTTGTCTAGAGCAGTGGTTTTTAACCTGGGCGATATTGCCCCCCAGGGGGCGATTTTGTTTTTCAGGGGGGCGATGGAATGAAAAGGGGCGATGTGGGGGCGATGGAGTGAGAAGTTTTGGGGACACTTTTGAGACTTTTCCGTACAGTGAATCACTGTATATCTGTTGTATAAAAACATCAGATCGCTCGCTATTAGTGGATTTCTTACAATTGAATTTTGTTTTTAGTGGTGATTATATTTAAGTGTCTTGAATAAATAAGATAATAATGAAATACATGTATCACAAAATTTGGGAATAAAGTGCCAGGTGTCACCAAAATTTTTCACACAGTTGAGATATGGGAAAAAGACTGGAAATAAACTATTTGCATCGATATGTCCTGATGACAGTTTTAAAGAAAACAAAAAAAAGTGTTTGCATAAATTGAAGAATTATTTCCTATGTTGTGATTGAGAGGTTATGTTGGGGGAGGGGGGCGATGACAACTTACTCATTGGCTCAAGGGGGCGATTTGTTCAAAAAGGTTAAGAACCACTAGTCTAGAGTGCTTGCCAGCTTCATTTTCAGAAAGTTCCCTAGAAGTTAAAAGCGCTTTTAAGGAATGCTCAGGTTGAAATCCAATATCAGCTGACACCTTATGCTTGCTTGCATTTCGCTGCCATGAACTGTGTGTGTGTGTGGGGGGGGAATGCTTGGGGAAATGAAAGTAAATGCTGTGTCTCCTCAAGATGCTGCCTCAAGGTCACCCAGCTGGAAGAAGGAGGGAGCTGCATACCCGACTATGCTTGGACCGACCGTTATGAAAACATCTTACCTGGACCTGAGTGGTTACACGGGGTGGGCGATGAGATACAGTTAAAGGAGGGAAAAGTAGAACTTTTAGGGATTTTGGCCTGTGAGTCTCAGTTCTGGCTTTGAATTACTGCACTACACTTGAATTCTGATAAAACGATATCTTTCTCAACCGATGGAGCCAAGGATTGTTTCTGTTTAGAGGTTTAAAGTTGTGGCAGGCCTGACATCCATCTTGACCCGTCTTTCTCTTCTTGACCAGTAGTGCTCCTGAGCCAGAGAAATCAACGGCCGAGGATGCTTCTGAAAAGGCCCCCGATGCCCTTCCCAACAGTATCCCGAGCCTGGGAATACTTTTGGACCCCAACATCACTTCAACCACGGAAGACCCTTGCGAAAGAATTGCCCAGACGGAAAACAGACCGCTGGAGAACGACCGGCAGCACAGCTCCCCAGCAAGAGAAGAAGCCTCCACCTGCCCTGGAGAAGGGGATGTTCAAGTCCTTCCTGAAAGGGCAGGTGTATCCAAAGAGGAGGAAGCAGCTTCAGAGAAGAGTCCTGAGCCTGCTGAAGGACAGGCAGGGCCACCAGAAAAAGACACCCAGAGCCCCCAGATGAGGTTGGACGGTGAATCTAGGCCCCAAAAGCTAAAGACCCCCCTAAACGCGCCCGAGACAGGTCCTGAATTCCAGGGCAACCCTCTGAGTAGTAAAGACGCCCCTTGTACCAAGAATTTCCCCCTTCCCCAGCCCAAAATTGTTGCCGAGAGCCAGTGTTCAAAGATAGAAAGCAAACTGGCAGATGGCAGCGAGCCAGTCCGAAGAAGCCTCGAAAAGCCGGGCCCGAGATCCTCCCCGAAGGAGAAAGCCCACAGTTACAAAAAAACCGACCAAGAACATTATCGTCCTAAAAGGAAACGTTCCGAAAATGAGGAGGAGGAAGAGGAGGCGGAGGCAGCGGCCGACGGGGCGGGTGGGCGGAGCCAGCCCGACGGACACTGCAGCAAGCAGAGGTGCGCTTACAGTAGGGAGCGGGTGAAGCAGCAGGACCAGCCCCGACGGGAATACCACGGCACCAGCTACTACAGGTTCCCGGGCAGTCCCGATCCCGCCAGGAGTTTAGGGAAGTACCCTCCTTACCAATCCCGCAGCCGGGGCAAAACGGACTCTGAGCGGAGCAGGCCCAGTTACGGGAAAGGAGGAGAGAGGTCGTGGAGCAGGGAGAGATACTACCAGGAGACGCCGAGGAGGTGGGACGCGTGCCGCTCGTACAGTTACTATTACTCGGCTTCCCACCTGCCCCGGCATAACCAGGAGAGGAAGCCGACGCATTCCGAGAGAGACTATAACAAGTCGAGTCATGTTTACAGTAGCCCCTACGATAAATACGATTATTACAAAAGCCGGTCGAACCACGACCAGGATAGGAAAAGGCGGTTTTCCCCGAGCCCCGAGGCCAGCGACTGCGCCCTCGAAAAGAAACATCCCAAACTCATGCCAGAGAGTTCTCCCGACGAACAAAAGGGAAGGAAGCGGAAGAAGTCGAAGAAGAAGAAAAAGTTGAAAGACAAACACAAGGAGAAGGATGCCAGGTGAGCAGAGGAGGGTGGGAGGTAACGGGAGGTAACGGGATGATCTCCTGTCCGGTTTCTGAAGTTGGTCACCGATAACCCCAGCCCTTCCTTTCTCCCCACCCCCTTCCACCCCCAAATGTGGTTGAAAGGTTTCAGGATCTTGATTTCTTTTAAAATTATTTTTCATTACCTTTGGAAAGGCCTGGCTGACGCCCTCTGACCTACTACCCCTGAATTCATACCTTATTTTTCATCAGAATCCTCCAGGAAGTGGATACAGGTGGTCCTCTGCCTACTATTCATTTAGTGACCGGTCAAAGTTAACAACGGCACTGGAAAAAGAGACTTACAGCCGTTTTTCACACGTACGGCTTGTAGCCTCCCCAGGGTCACGTGCCCAGAATTTGGACACTCATGTCGATCGTGGTGTCCCAGGTTTATGTGATCCCCTTTTGCGACCTTCTGACGAAGTCCACGGGGAAGCCGGATTCACTTAACAACCAGATTACTCACTTAACAGCTGCAGGGATTCACTTAAGAACTGACAAGAAGGGAGGTAAAATGGGGCAAAACTGGCGTAGCAATAAAAATTTGGGGCTCCATTGTGGTCCCAAGTTGAGGACAACCTGTATTTATTTCTCCGCTTGTCCATCCCATTCATACGGCCGCCCGTCTCCCCAAAACATGACCCTAGGTGGCCTACAACAGATGATAGCTTAACGAGCTGGGTGTAAGCTGGTGTGATGATGCCAGAGTAAGGGTTGAAATGTATGGATTCACCCAGGGCAGCCTGTAAGCCAGACATGTCAAACACAAGGCCCGGGGGCCGGATGCAGCCCGCGAAGTGGTTTCATGTGGCCCACTAAGCCATCCTGGAAACAGTGAGGGAACGGCCCCCGCTGCCTTGGCCCTGGCCCAGGCCGGCCGGGAGCCAATGTACAATTTTGTGGTGGCCATCCACTCTGAAACGCATTCAGTCTTAGCTCCACAAGACTGTCTGGAAACAGCGAGGAACCAGCCCCTGCCGCGTCGGCCCCATCCCCTGGGGTCATGCTGGGGAGGTGTCACTCTTTGTGAGGAATGAAGAAATGGACCATGCCTTGGCGCTTGCCCCGGTCCCACCCTCTTCTGCCAGAGACCCTCAGATCTGTCCCACTCCTGCCCAGGCCCCCACAGGTACCCTTGACGTGAACGATGTAGAGCTGGCCACGCCCACCTAGTAGGTCGCAACCACCCTGGCCACCCCCCCCCCAAGGGCAACCGCAATGCTGATGCGGCCCTCAATGAAATTGAGTTTGACACCCCTGCTGTAAGCCTATTCCTTTCTTTTAGCCCCAGTTCCTTGTCTGCAAAATGGGTAGCCCAGCAGTCTTCGCCCCCTTCATTATGGGGTAGCAGAGTGAATGACCCAGTGAATGAATCAAAGCCACAGGAAACTGCTCTTCAGTCAAGCCACAAAGACAGACGGTAGGTCCTGTCCTATAGTAATGTTCTCTCTAGGCCAGAGGCCTCCAACCCCTGGTCCGTGGACCGGCACTGTGGCACGGCATGCCAGCAACCGGTCTGCACAAACAAGCAAAGCCCCATCTATGGGTTGCAGGCAGCACATGAAACCACGCACCTTCCGGTCTCTCCAAGTCACCAGTCCCTGGTGCCCCAATGGTTGGGGGCCTCTGCTCTAGGCAAGCCCGGGTTTCAGTTGACTTAATTTTGTCCCCGCCCCTCAACTCCAATGGACACTTCGAAGCAGGAGGGATCTCTTCTCTTTCAGTACATGAATGTTCATGCAGATAGTCCTCAACCATTGTTTGTTTAGTGACAATTCAAAGTTAGCAACGGCACTGGAAAAAAAGGGAGTTTCGGAGCGTTTTTTTTTCACCCTTAATAACCGCTGTCACATCCCTGCAATTGCGTGATCGAAATTCAGACGCTTGGCAACCGACTCACCTTTATGACGGTTGCAGTGTCCCCGGGGAAATCACCTATCCCCTTTTGCGACTTTCTGACAAGCAAAGTCAACCGGGGGCGGGGGGGGAGAGCCCAGATTGACTTAACCGCTCTGTGACTAATTTAACAACTGCCGTGATTTACTTAATGCCCGTGGCAAGAAATGGGGCAAAACTCACTTAGCAACTGTCTTGGAAATTTTAGGCCCAGTTGCAGCCATAAGTGGAGGACCACCTTTATAAGGGTGCGTGGCCTCGGGGGAGGGGGGAAATAAAAAAAAAGAAATATTAAGCAAGCGCTCCTTAAAGGGGAAGCAACTGCTTGGATCAAGGTGTTTGGAATAGTATAGGACAGAGGTAGGTAACCTTGGCTCTTTTATGACTCGTGGATTTCAACTCCCAGAATTCCTGAGCCAGCCACGCTGAGGGAAAGGGGAGAGGTTTCCAAGCTGAGCCATGCTGGCTCAGGAATTCTGGGAGTTGAAGTCCATGAGTCATAAAAGAGCCAAGGTTGCCTATCCCTGACCTAGAAGGAAGATAGATAGATAGATAGATAGATAGATAGATAGATAGATAGATAGATAGATAGATAGATAGATAGACAGACAGACAGACAGACAGACAGACAGACAGACAGACAGACAGACAGACAGACAGACAGACAGACAGACAGACAGACACCTATATCGGGGTAGGCAACCTTGGCTCTTTTATGACTGGTGGACTTCAACTCCCAGAATTCCTGAGCCAGCCATGCTGAGGGGAAAGGGAGAGGTTTCCAAGCTGAGCCATGCTGGCTCAGGAATTCTGGGAGTAAGTCCACGAGTCATAAAAGAGCCAAGGTGGCCTATCTCTGGTATTGGGTTTCCTTCCTGAGCAGCGGGTTGGACTAGAAGACCTCCAAGGTCCCTACCAACTCTGTTGTGTGAAACGGCAGCCTCGCTTCCCCCCCCTCCCCTGACTTTCCGGTCTTTGCTCTCCTCCAGGCATCGCCAAGATTCCGACCCGTCTCCCTCCAACTCCGAGGCCGAGACCCACAAACACAAACACAAGAAAAAGAAGAAGAAGAAAAAGAAGAAGCACGCAAGGAAATCGGAAGACTGCGAGCAAGGCCCTGCCCCTCCTTCCCTCCCCAAGCCGGCTGCCCTGCAAATCAAGAATCTCAAAAACTGGGAGACGACGCCCAAACCGCCTTTGGAGGCTTGTCGGAAACACGGCGCGACGACGTCTTGCAAAGAAACTCCGGCCGTTTGGCGGAAATCAAAAGCCCTGGAAAGGAGCAACAGGGACGGCGGCTTCAATCCACTGAGAGATCAGAACAGTGGTAAGTAAGGGAGAGGTTGGATCCCTAGGGAGATCTTCCTGGGACGCTCAGGGAATCCTAAGAGTTGAAAAAGGCCAGCGTGGATCCTCCAGTCTTTCTCGCGCTTGGCAACTTGGGTGGACTTCTAACGTCAAGAATTACACATCCTGGCTTGTCACTTTCGGTGCCCAGCTGAAGAGTGACAGAACCGGTGAGAGCCGACGTAAAAATCCCTCAAGCGTTTGAGAAGTGGCTGATTCGATGGTGGTGTTGCTGCCCTGCTGGGGGAGGGGAGTTTATAAGTAGTCCTCGACTTACAACCGTTCACTTAGAGACCCTTCAAAGTTACAACAGCACTGATAAAAAGAGACTTAGGACCCTTTTTTGACACCACCTTTGCAGCATCCCCGTGGTCACGTGATCACAATTGGGCCTCTTGGCAACTGGCTTGTACTTGCGACGGTTGCAGTGATCGCCTTTTTGCGGCCTTCTGAGAAACAAAAGTCCATGGGGAAGCCAGATTCACTTAACAAGCGTGTCACTAACTTAACCACTGCAGGGATTCACTTAGCAAGAAAGGTTGTAAAATGGAACAAAAGTCACTTCACCTCACTTCACTTCGCATCTCTCTCGCTTAGCAAACAGAGACTTTGGCCTCAGCTGAGGTCGTAAGTCAAGGCTGCAAAGGGAAGTTGTAAAATAGGACTGGTCACCTGGAGGACTCCATTTACGACCATTAGAACTGAACCCTGTGATGTTCAGGCCACCTTAATGTTGTAAGTCGAGGGCTATCTGTATTTGCCACCTGCCAGGGAAGCTAAAAATTATCGGGCTGTTTGAAAGCTAAAAAGCATCGGGCTATTAAAACCTCTTCGCCTCAGTTTCCCCAAATGATATTGTCATCTTTGCCTTTCAGATCCGGAATGTCCGTTGGAAGTCCAGCTTATAGTGTATTTATAAACCGAAAAAGGGGGGGGGGAAACCAACCCTACAAACTCTTTAATTCATAATTGGTGCTTCAGAAAATACTGTACAGGATTTTATCATTGAAGAAAGCCCCACTTTTTTTTTCTTTTTTGGTTTTTACCTTGAGTCTTTCTTCTTTTTTTAAAAAAAAAAACAACAAACAAGCAAAATTCTCCTTGATCCCCAAACACAAGAGGATGATGGACATGTTTCTACAGCTGCTGAACGTTGCAAAATCTCCCTACCCCTGTCCGTGTCACCGTGAGGAACAATGCCCTGGATCCAAACATCTCAAAAATGCTGCTTCGTTCCACCACTCAGGTTGAATGTGTTTTATGTCCACGTGATGTTTGCTCCCAAGCCGACCTAGTTCGCCACGCGGGGTGAGGAACCGTAACCGAATTTAAGCAAGCTGCAACTGAATAAGTGTCTATTTAATTTAATTATTTAAAACATTTCACACGCAACTCGGGTGTTTGCGCGCGAGAAAGAGAGAGAGACAGCGCGCGCCTCGGTTTCCTTCGTCAGGTGTCTGCTACTAGAAACTCAACGTCATTTCCCTCCGTTGGATCCCCGTCTTTGGACTTTGTGAAAAGTGCGTGCCGTTCAGACGCTTGGGCCAGTTTTTGAATGTACCCCCAGGACACGTCCGAAGACCGCTCGTCGCCGTAGCCTGTCCTTTGGCTAAACCTGAATTTCCGAGATCCGACTGGCAATTGCAGAGGGTTTGAGCAACCCGTGCGTTGTGGGAAAGGCTGCCGGGTCCGTTTCCCCCACTCGAGTGTCTCCTTCCGTGGGTGTTTCTTCACCCAACCTTTGCAGGATGCCTTTTGCAACCGTCGCCTGCAACGTCCTTTTGTAGGCCTCTCAGCGACTCCTTTTGAAGTGCTGGCCCTCTTTCCTTTTCTGCATTTCTCCCCGTCTTTTGCCACTTGGTCCTTGGGCATCTCGTCCCTGTTCCGCAGAGTTATTTTATAGCTCAGGTTGGATTTCTAGCCTGCACCCAGAAGTAAGCGAGGAGAACAGGTGCTGGGATCTCTAGTATCCGCTTGGAGGAGCCGTTTTCTTCATTTTTTTTTTTAATCCACTAAGTTTTTATTGCGTTCATTTTTAATGTAGTGATATATACGTCCTGACCGATCTCAGCCACCTGGTTTTCTTGTTTCCTTCCCGAGGTTCTAGTTACAGACAACGTTCATACTGTGATTTTATTTTATTTTATTTTTTTAATTTGTATTATTTTTTTAATGATGAAATGCTATCAAAACTGTGATACACTTAATTCACTGGTCCTGCATCAGGAGACAGAGTGGGGAAAACTGTATTAAATACAGTTCATCTGAATAATCTGTCTGATTTATTCAAGCCGTGTTTGTTCAGAGATGTCTCAAGTTTGATCTTTGTTTTTTTAAAAGATAAAAAGCACTTGCCCCACTTGTAAATATGTGGCATGTAAAATTTATATAGTATATAAATCCGAGAAATCAAATCAAACAGGCTTCTGTGGTTAGTTCAGTTACATCGGACTGTAGCGGGTGAGTAGAGGTGAGCCTAGAATTTATGTTACTAAGTGAGTTCCGAATCCGGCTTCCCCGTTGACTTTCTTTGTCGGGTGGTCGCGAAAGGAGATCACATAACCCCTGGGACACGGCAACCGTCATAAATATGAACCAGTTGCCAAAGCATCCCAATGTAAATCGTGTGGCCCTGAGGATTCTACAACGGTCATAAGTGTGGAAAATGGCCATTAATCCCTTTTTTCAGGGCCCTTGTAACTTCAAAAGGACACAAAACAAACTGTTGTAAGTCAAAGTCCTAGCTTGACACAAAACGTTCAATGGTGACGTGTGTGTAACCAGCTCTTGGTTGGATTGTGCTACCGAAAACATCTCAGTTACTTTCCCTTTATTAGTATTGTAGTATTTAAGCAGAAACACTACAGGTAATCTACGACGGGTCTGCAACCTTGACAACTGTAAGACTTGTGGACTTCATAGCTGGCTGAGGAATTCCAGGAGCTGAAGTCCACAAGTCTTAAAAGTTGTCAAGGTTGCAGAGCCCTGATCTAAGTTACAATCACAATCGCAGGCAGAATTTTGGTGGTTAAATGAATTAAGCCCAATTTTACAAATTTGGTGAATTTAAGTGTATGCTAAGCAAATCTGGCTTTCCACATTGAGAAGTTGCAGTTGACAATCACACAATCCTGGGACGCTGCAACCTTCATAACTTGCTGGTTGCCAATTGCCCAAAATTTAACCCTGTGACCAGGGATGCCACAACGGCTATAAAATGCGTTGTCACAAGTGTCTTTTTTTTTCAATGCCCTTCGAACGGCTTCTAAACGAATCAAGGACGTGTCCACCTTCCCCAAATTCACTTTTTACGTCGAGACCTCAGCCACGGCTCCCTTGCCTAAATGGATTTTAAAAAAAAAACAGTCATCGGAGATTGCCACAGATGGATACGGAATTATATTGCGCACTTTATTGATAACCAGGCACTCGATCAATACACAGATGTACACTATATACAAGGTACTTTACACTGAGTGGTTAAGAAATATTGTACAAGAAAATAGAACTGGGGGGAGTTACAGACTTATTTGCAATACCTGGCTTGAGAAAAAGGGCTTGGACAGATGGAAAGCTTGTTCTCTCACTGTTTTTAAAAAACACACAATTTGTGTCGTGAACGGTATGAGGGCATGATTTGTTGACAAAGCGTAACAGGCTAGGATTACATCCTAAGCACATTAAGCCAAAACGTCAGCTAGCTTAGAACAGCGTTTCTCAACTCTAGCAACTATTAAGACGTGTGGACATCAATTCCCAGAATTCCCTAGCCAGCATGGCTGGCTGGGGAATTCTGGGAATTGAAGTTCACATCTCTTAAAAGTCACCATTGGCTCAGCATAATGGTCTCAGGTATATCCCTCTTAATCACAACCTCATTTTCAGAGGGCCACTAAATCTAGCAGAATTATGCCCTGGAGGAAGGCCCTCAATTCGTGAACCATGGCTTGTCGGGAGCCAGCATTAAACCTTCATCTGTCTGGAGCCTTTTTTCCCCAGCAAGCATCCCTAGAAAGCTAGGTCCTCCCTTTCGCAAAAATATAAGGCTTCTTTTTCTCCCCTCAAAAGTAGGAAGTCTTCCAAATGTTCCAAACCTTAAAAAGTATTTTTTTTAGTACCACACATGGCCACCCACCCCAAAATCTTCAAATGAGCTTCCCAACCCAAATTCCCTGCTATGTTTCGCACCTGTCAGGCCAGCTGAAGCTAAAGTGCTATTCAATTCTCCAAAAAAAATCCTTGAAGACTCAACCTCCCCCCCCCCCCAAAACCCTTAAAGTTCCCAGGGACGCAAGGCAACCGAGGCAGAACACGTAACTGTCTGGACAAGCACTAGATGGCAGCAGAGACCCAGCCAGCGGCAATGGTCATTCCAAGTTTTGTAGGCCACAAAGAGGACACCAGGAGAAATGCATTTCGCTTAACTTCTTGATGATGGGAAGAGGTGAAGATGTAACCAGGAATAATAACGTCTTTAAATCGGTGTTTCTAAACACTGGGCAACTTTTCAGAAGCGTGGACTTCAACTCCCAGAATTCCCCAGCTAGTACCTAACCAATTCTCAAGAATTCTCCATGCAGGTTGGAGCATTCTGGGAGTTGAAGTCCACCCCTCTTAAAAGTTGCCCAGGTTGAGAAACACGGATTGAAAGTAATGTTTTGTCCTCGTTTCCCCCTCCCCCCCAAAAAATATCTGGGACAATCAATAAAAGCATTCCATTTCAATCCTTCCAGGAATCTTTGGAGATCTGCTTTAATTCCCTACACAAAATCTGCAAAAGGTGGGGCTGGTCTCATAGGGTTTCAAAGCTTACTTCAAAAGTAATAAGAAAAATAAAAAGCAGAGATTCTTAGAATATGATAGGGATTTAGGGAAGCACCAGAAAAGATGGTTCATCAGGAGCGTGCAATGTGTGCGTACACTTAACGCAATCCATTCTCGACACACACACCCCAATTGCACAGGAGAGGACAGATGCATTTTACTGATCCATCCCTGCAGATGTAATAGTAATAGTAATAGTAGTAAAGTTGGAAGGGACCTTGGAGGTCATCTAGTCCAACCCCCTGCTCGGGCAGGAAACCCTACACCATTTCGGACAAATGGCTGTCCAGTCTCTTCTTAAAAACTTCCAGTGTTGGAGCATTTACTGCTTCTGGAGGCAAGCTGTTCCACTGATTAATTGTTCTCACTGTCAGGAAGTTTCTCCTTAGTTCTAGGTTGCTTCTCTCCTTGATTAGTTTCCACCCGTTGCTTCTTGTCCTGCCTTCAGGTGCTTTGGAAAATAGCTTAATTCCCTCTTCTTTATGGCAGCCCCTGAGATATTGGAATACTGCTATCATGTCCCCCCTTGTCCTTCTCTTCGTTAAACTAGACATACCCAATTCTAGCAACCGTTCCTTATATGTTTTAGCCTCCAGTCCCCTAATCATCTTTGTTGCTCTTCTCTGTACTCTTTCTAGAGTCTCAACATCTTTTTTACATCGTGGTGACCAAAACTGGATGCAGTATTCCAAGTGTGGCCTTACCAAGGCATTGAAGAGTGGTATTAATACTTCACGTGATCTTGATTCTATCCCTCTGTTAATGCAGCCTAGCACTGTGTTGGCCTTTTTGGCAGCTGCAGCACACTGCTGGCTCATATTTAAGTGATTGTCTACTAGGACTCCGAGGTCCCTCTCACAGTTACTACTATTGAGCATGGTGCCACCTATGCTGTACTTGTGCATTTGGTTTTTCTTGCCTAAATGTAGAACCTTGCTTTTTTCACCATTGAATTTCATTTTGTTAGTTAGTGCCCAGTGTTCAAGTCTGTCCAGATCCTTCTGTATCTGAAGCCTGTCTTCTGGAGTGTTGGCTATTCCTGCCAGCTTGGTGTCATCTGCAAATTTGATGAGTTCCCCATCTATCCCTTCATCCAAATCGTTGATGAAGATGTTGAAGAGTACTGGGCCCAGAACAGAGCCCTGGGGCACCCCACTACACACTTCCCTCCATATAGATGCAGTTCCATTGAGGACCACTCGCTGAGTACGGCCGGTCAGCCAGCTACGGATCCATCTGGTGGTGGTTCTGTCTACCCCACATTTTTCTATCTTGTCAAGTAGTAGGTTGTGATCTACTTTATCAAATGCCTTACTGAAGTCCAAGTAAATTATGTCCACAGCATTCCTCTGATCCACTAATTTTGTCACTTGGTCAAAGAATGCAATAAGATTTGTCTGGCATGATCTATTTTTGACAAACCCATGTTGGCTTTTAGTAATGACTTTGTTTGCCTCTAGGTGTTCGTTGATTCGTTGTTTGATTATCTTTTCCAGGATCTTCCCAGGTATTGAGGTCAGGCTGATAGGTCTGTAATTTCCTGGATCCATTTTTTTTCCTTTTTTGAGGATGGGAACTACATCAGCTCTTTTCCAGTCCTCTGGTAGTTCCCCTGTGTTCCAGGATCTTTGAAAAATATAGTTCAGTGGCTCCGATATCACATCTGCCAGTTCCTTGAGAACTCTGGGGTGTAATCCGTCTGGTCCTGGCGATTTGAACTCATCTAGGCTGGACAGGTGCTCACTAACGATTTTCTTGCCTATCTTAACTTGTGTTTCTGTTTTGTTTTTTGTGGCACTATTTTTGATAGGTTGGTCTGTTTTTTCCCTTTGTGTAAAGACAGATGCAAAAAATGAGTTAAATAGTTCTGCTTTCTCCCTGTTGCTTGTCACCTTCTTGCCACTTCCACCCACTATCTGACATTATTAGCTGATAGCCAAGGATATACAGTCTCTCTGCAATTGGTATGAGAAAAACAAGTTTTAACAGAATAACAGAGTTGGAAGGGATCTTGGAGGTCTTCTAGTCCAACCCCCTGCTCAGACAGGAAAGCCCTATTCCATTTCAGATAAATGGTTGTCCAATCTCTTCTTAAAAACCTCCAACGTTGGAGCACCCACAACTTCTGGAGGCAAGTTGTTCCATTGATCAATTGTTCCGAATGTCAGGAAATTTCTCCTTAGTTCCAGGTTGCTTCTCTCCTTGATGAGTTTCCACCCGTTGCTGCTTGTCCTGCCTTCAGGTGCTTTAGAGAAGAGGTTGACCCCCCCTCTTCTTTGGGGCAGCCCTTCAAATATTGGAGAACTGCTATTATGTCTTTCCTAGTTCTTCTTTTTATTAAACTAGACATATCCAATTCCTGCAGCCGTTCTTCATATGTTTTAGTCTCCAATCCCCTAAACCAGTGTTTCTCAACCTTGACAATTTTAAGGCATGTGGACTTCAACTCCCAGAATTCCACAGCCAGCATTGCTGGCTTGGAATTCTGGGAGTTGAAGTCCACATGCCTTAAAATTGTCAAGGTTGAGAAACACTGCCCTAAACATCTTTGTTGCTCTTTTCTGCACCTTTTCTAGAATTCTTTGGAACTCACCCTTGTTGCAAAGCACAAAGAAGGATGAAAGAGGAGATTTTGGTATCGTCATAAGGGTAGTACCTTGAGGAGCCAAAAACTTTCAGAGGCCTTTCCTAGTCTAAACTAAAATTAAATTACTAAACTAAACTAAACCTAAGCCTTTTCTAATTTCGTTACTGGCCTTGTGACCACGGAAAAGTTTTGCCCCAAGTTGGATCCCTGTTCTGGATGCCATCAGGTGGGCGACCGCCAACACAATTATTTTGACTTTTTACTGTTGTTGTCAGCCGGGATGGCACTCCTGAGAAAATATTGTTAAATACAAACATTATAAACCATCCATATGCCCAGCAATACAATTGTTGTCTCGTTCACTAGAAAGTTTACATGTTTTTCTTAGGGCCAACAGAGGATTTCCAATCAGTTGGATTAAAAAAAAGGAATCCCTCAGTTTTATGTCTTTCAAACAGAGGGCTAGCTAGAGAGATCTAACTATTAGAGATCAAAGCCCTCAGAATTCCAGATAGTCTGACCAAAATAGATCAACCATTTTTCACTTGTGGCTTTATGCTCCTCAGAGGTGGATTCAGAACCTCTACGCTTTCTTCAGCACCACAACAGACATTCTCCCTCTCTATACTGACATGTGCAAAAGGGGCACAACTTCCACAGCCACAGTGTGATGCCCGGGGTGTCATTTTCTCCCTCTCCCACCAGCAAATATCTATTTTTTTTTTTTTAAAGCAGGGACCGCAGACCTTGTCAATCCCGTTTTCTGGAAGCAGAACGAGAACCTCTTGGAAAAGACAATATGGAGAATTGCACTAAACACCCAAGAGAAACACACTGGGGAAATACCAGTTGGGGGAAGAAAAGCAATTTCCTGGAGAGCTTTTTCAAGCAGGACCATCCTGTGGAGGAGAGGGAGATGTGATCGCACACCGGGTGTCACAACAGTGGGGGTTCAACGTTATGCACAACAGTCTGGACGTAAGCTAGGAACAAGACTCTTAAACGACACAGAGGAAGCAAGCTCCCTCTATCAGGAAAGACATCACATCAACAAGTCACAATCCCCAACAACATCCGTCCCCCACCCCAGAAGTAAAGAGGAACGGGAGACGTCCAGCTCAGTTGTGGTTCCACCACACTCCCAAAGGGACAGCAGAGACACAAGCTTGCTGGGATGAGACAAATTTCCTCTGCCCTGGGCACAGGGATGGGGAGAGTCCTTCCGCGAAGTTACTTCTTATTAGCTATCCGCCTTTTCCGAGTTGCCAGCATGTCATAAAAAGGGTCCTTGCTGATGCTTGCCCTAAAACAAAAGAAAATAATAATAATCAGGTTAAGTTTGCACACTACCCTAACACCTAACATCAGTGGTTTTCAACCTCGGCAGTTTTAAAATATCTGGACTGGGAAATTCTGGGAGTTGAAGTCCACCAGAGTTGAAAATCTCTGCCTGGACCACGACAAACGACGGACAAGCCTTTTCTTCCCGTATACACCTTGGGCAATTTTTTCCCACCTGGTTTCTCAACGCTAGGCAGCTTTAGCTAAAATACACTCCCTTCCCGATGTCTCTGCTGGAAAGGTAAGTCGAGGATTATCTGCAAATAGTCCTCAAGTTACAACAGTTCATTTAGCGACCGAAGTTACAATGGCACGGAAAAATGTGACTTTTTTCACACTGAATGACCACTGAAGCATTCCCCTTGGTCATGTCATCAGAATCCAGACACTTGGTAACCAGTTCATATTTATGACGGTTGCCGTGTCCGGGACTCAATTGTGGTCGTACGTTGAAGACTATCTTAGATGGACTTTGCAAGTCCATAGGATATGCAAAGCCCAAATTTTACAGCTGGGCTCTCCATACAGCTGGCCTTGTGCTACTCATCTTTCCATGAATAAAGTCCTCACTTGATGGATTTAATCCATTCTTCTTTTTCTTCAGATGTGGGAGCAGATATCCTGTAGACCACATGGTTGCCTTCAACCACCCGGCCGTCCGCTTCTGTCTTGCAGGCTTTGATCACCTGTCCTTTGTAGCTGGGGTTGTACAGCTCAAAGCAATTCTAGGGAGCAAACAACAGACCAACATTGACAGTTTAGTTTCTGTTTGGCACAGAGTTGCTCTGCTGCAGAAGCCAACATTCAACTAGAGCCTCCTTCGGCCGTTGTTGATATATTTTACCTTCATATATGCCATTCTGTTTTATGTAAGTCAGTATCATTTCTCCAACCTATGTTTCCCTTGCAGTAATAAGTGGTTTACAGTTCAAATCAACTGTCCCTAACAAGACTAAATAATGAACTGATCATCAATAATAGACAAAAACTGGGAAGACACAGAAATCAGTATAATGGTTACTCTTGCATAAGAGGTGATTATGTTTTCAGATCCGAAGTTCTTAATTTTTCTTTTAAAGTTAAAAAGCAGGGTTGGGAATAGCTCAAGGGAGTCGAGATGGTGCCTCAGCCATACAACTGAAGCTCTGTTAGTCTATAAATGAATAAACAGATGATAAAGATAGAGATAGATAGACAGATAGACAGACAGACAGACAGACAGACAGACAGACAGATATGAGATGATTGAAGTTCCTTGCTCATCCATGTGGTCATGACCACCATCTTGCCTGGTCCAAATTCCATCCCTTCAAATGGGTCCCACCCAATTGTGTATCAGCCATTTTCCATTTTATTTTAGCAGATGTTCACCATGCTAGGCAGCTGAGCTGCATCTCCAGGACAAGAGTTTACCACTAAGTTGAAGGTTCAGAAACCAGCAGGTACATCCGTAAGAGCTGCTCGCTAAGGATGAGGGCCTGATTTAAAGGGGATCAGGAAAGATCGCTGGGAGAAAAAGATCTTTTGAAGAAGACAGGGGAAGGAGGGAGATCTTACTGGTTTTCTTGGATCCTCAACTTCTTTGATGCTGAGGTTTTCCAGTGGGATGATTCCTCTGGGTTCTTTGTCCTAGGAAAAAACGAATATCCAATCAACGAGCTGAAATAGCTTGAATGTAGAAGGAGTGACGTTATTGTTGACACACCATACTCACTGTTGTGTATTCGAAATAATAGAGGCAGTTATCAGTCAGTATAAACCACCTTCTTTTCCACGTTTTCACGCGTCCGCCTAAAAAACACAAGACGCAAGACTCTCAATTAGACTTAGGCTTTGCCCTAAGCTATCATGAATGGGACAAAATAACCTGGTTACCTTGTTACTTTATTAAAAGATTAGCCATGTCAAAATCAGACAATGGAGGGGGAAATGGATATAGAAGTAGGGTTAAAATGAACAAAAGAGTTACTGAGACTCTCCTTAACCAGAAAGGGGAGTTGGATTGATTTGCTCAGCTAAGCCAGGGTTTATTTGACTATGAATTGACACTCAAGCCACAATCAGCTGAATTCAGACACAATACTAATCCATGGTTTGCCTACCCATCATTAACTGAGCTGCCGCTGGCTGGGTTCCCACATCACACACTAAGCAAAATTCAAGTGACCTGCCTTCTAAATTAATATGATGGGAAAGTTCAATCAATGTTATGAAATACAAATTTGCTCTTTCTATGAAACATGGAGCAAGTATTAAATGGAATGTTGAAATCTGAATGGAAATTCATTGAGACTTTGGACCAAACAGTAATGGTGGAATCCTTGAGTTGGTAGTTTGCTTGTAAACATTCATTACCCAACTAGGTAGCATCATCCGTGTTGGAAGGAAGTGGAGAGGAGGAGGAGGAGGAGGAGGAGGAGGAGGAGGAGGAGGAGGAGGAGGAGGAGGAGGACGATGACTGTGGGGTCCTCGGTGCTCTCTGAGCTTGCTTGTTTGCTTGTAGACTTTTCATTACCCAACTAGGTAACCTCATCAATGCACTAACTCTCAACCCAACCTATGTTGCAGATCTATTGTGGGGATAAAATGAAGGTGCACATTTTATGCACACCATCTTCCATTCCTGCTGGAATTGAAAGGACAAAGGGAAGAGAAAGGATGTTTTAGGAATAAGCCAACCTGCCTATGAACGTCCAATTTCCTACCACCAACTGACCATGTTGCATAATCCTAGCAGGGGAACAGCCTTTTCCTGGTTGGTGGGTGGCAGATGGGTGGGGGTTGAGGACACCAGGCAAGAAATTCCAGAAAGAAAACCCTCAAGATGGTGGTGAACCAGGGATGGAACGTGTGCACTCCTAGGAGCCACCCAAAATTTGATTTAATTGCACCAACTGGATCCAACTCCTACTCAAAATCGGTGGCAAAGATAACAAAATTGAAGTAGGTCCAAAAGCTAGTAGCATTTGCCAACGAGAATGAAGGAACAACTAGGAAGGATAAACTCTCTTCATTTGGAGCCCAGGTCTGTCTAGATCTTTGAGAGCCAAAGTCTTCCTTCACAGACAATGCCAAAATCCACTTTATTCTTTCTCAAATGTTTCCTTCTGCAAAAGCGCGCCGTGTTCTTCTACCTTATTCTCGGTGTGCTTTACAGTTCCTTTCTCTACGTTGCATTTTTGCACTAAAGATTATTGAACGCCCCAAAGATGAAAATGCTGGGGTAAGCAAAGAAGGCATTGAAAAGGAGACAGTCTACCCTCTCTTGGCCAGGACCAGGCGCACGAGCGGCACAATTGTTCCTTTTCAGCAGAAACATCAGAGAATGCATTCCAAAATGGGACGTTTTTATTTCTTGAGCAGAAGAGGAAGTAATTAAAAGCAGACCTTGGCTGTTTACAAGAAAAAGTTTAGTCTCAGACAGCGGAGTGGAGCTGGGGCCAACAGACACTGTAATTTGGAATTTTTAAAATCAGTCTTGTCCAGAGCAACCCTCCCTGGGATCTATTGCTTGCAATGTCTGCTACAGGATTTCACTGCCTCTTCCGCCCCTTCAGTTGGCTCTCCATTAATCATTATGCAACATCTCCAAATTTGCCCAAAATAAACGTGGGTGTTACCGATTTTTTCTTTCCTGGTTGAAGAAGAAAAGAGTTTTCAACACTACTCCAAAAACTATTTATTTTGTGGTAGAGAGGAGAATAAAAAAACCGCAGCCAAAGCAGAAGAAAGGAAAACATCCTGGAAAGTTTGAAAGAAGTCAGATGTTTTTCCATGCTGCCCAGGTGACAGAGAGTCCTCAAATTACAATCGGTCATTTAGGGACAGTTACAACGGCGCTGGAAAAAAAATGACTTATGACCACTCTTCATACATACGACTGTCACAGCATCCCTAAAGTCACATGATCATAATTACGGTGGTTGCAACATCCCGGGGTCATGTGATCACCATTTGTGATCTTCTCAGTTAGCTTCCAACAAGAAAAGTCAATGGGAAAAGCTTGTTTCTCTTAATGACCACATCATTCACTTAGCAACTATGGCAAAAAAGATTATTAAACCAGGCATGGCTAAGAAACTGCCTTGTTTAGCAATGGAAATCCTGATCCCAATTGTCCTCTATATAAAAATCGTGCAATGTAAACAGGCACGCTTTACCCCGTCATAAACTATTCAGACAAATGGTGCAGGGTTTTGGAAGGGGGGGGGGGAATAAAAAAAATCTCTTTTACTGGTATCTCCTTTCAAATCTATTCTCCGTGGATGCAACTAGCATCTTTTAGAGGAAGATTTGGATTCAAACATTTGCTAGGGCTTATGTAGGAAAAAGAGGCAGGAATGGCGTTTTCTCAGTCCTAACCCACAGGGAAATTGCTGGGGCAAACACACACACACACACACACACACCCCTTTTGTAATCCGTGAGAAGGCAGATTTGCCAAAGAACGAAACAAACCTCAAGATTCCTGGCAAAGGTTTTTGGCAATCCATTCACATGGAGGAGGAGAAGGAAAACCATCTGCAATTCATTACATCGTTTCCCATCCTCCTTAGCTTTGAAAAAGGGCAGCAGACAGTTCCTGCCTCTGATATGGACCAGGATTAGACTCTGAAACGAGTCAACAGTAAATTAGAAATTAACTGGGAATGAAAACAGTTGCTTTCTGGGCAGACCGTCCCATGAAAGCTGGATCTGTAACCAAGAACGGCAGAGCTTGCATCTATATTATTGTCTACTCTTTCGTCAGAGTCTGGATGACTTTGGAGAACCTCTAGCTTGGGTAGAAATGTCCATTTTCAGGATGCACGAACACCCAAGATTCCAGGTAGACTTGGATAGGTTGGGCCCCCAGGATCCTTATTGAAAATAAGGATTCCAATATCTTCTAATAATATATGGATAGTACAATGGTCATAGGGTCTTGGAGAGAGGGAGTGACTAAATTTGGAGCCCTATATCAGAGTTTTCCAACTTCAGACATTTTAAGAAAAGAAAGACGAGGGGGGACGTGATAGCAGTGTTCCAATATCTCAGGGGCTGCCCCAAAGAAGAGGGAGTCAAGCTCTTCTCCAAAGCACCAGAAGACAGGACAAGAAGCAACGGATGGAAACTAATCAAGGAGAGAAGCAACCTGGAACTAAGGAGAAATTTCCTGACAGTGAGGACAATTAACCAGTGGAACAGCCTGCCTCCAGAAGTGGTGAATGCTCCAACACTGGAGGTTTTTAAGAAGAGACTGGACAGCCATTTGTTTGAAATGTTATAGGGTCTCCTGCCTGAGCAGGGGGTTGGACTAGAAGACCTCCAAGGTCCCTTCCAACTCTATTATTATTGTTATTATTATTATTATTGTTATTGTTATTATATTGTTGTTGTTATTGTTGTTGCTATTATTGTTATTGTTGTTGTTATTAAATGAGAATCTCCTACGTCAATTTCCATTGTTTGCATCCATTTCTGACATTGAAGTAAGGATATGTTTTATGCCAATGGCATGAATTGGAACTGGAATTTAGTCTGTTCCACACGAAAAGTCTGTTGCAGCAAACGCCAAGAAATTAAGATTTTACTGAGAAATAAAGGGAAATTCAGATGGTGCTCTAATTCCAGAGAAATCAAACGCCACACTATCAAACTGCCCTAAATATCAAGTGGCTCGGAGATAGGGTGTTAAGATGTTACCAAGGACTCAGCAACTTGCTAAGGCTTCCGACTGAAACGTGCTCCATTCTGCAGGCCCCGGCCGAGCGATTTAGTGACAAGCAGAGAAATGTCAGCAAAAGGGACGCTGAGGAGGGGTTAAAGGAAAACAGGCGCAAACAAGAGAAGGTTGAAAAGAGAGTACCTACCTCCTAACGCAGAATAAGAAGGGACAGCCAGTCACAGAACAGAAAGGTGATAGATCTCAGCCCAAAAGGAAAACAAGAAGGCACGTTTAAACCACTCGTTTCCCCCCAAAAAAATCACAGCCCCAAATCAAATCAACAGAAAGGCACAAATAACAAAGTGCGGAAAAATAGAAGACATTCAGGTATAAAAGGGAAAAAAGCGTGTGAGTTTCCTGGTTAGCTAACCAATACTAAAAAAATATATTAAGAATATAGGTGGTCCACAACTTAATGACAGTTGGTTTGTAATTACAACGGCACTAAAAAGTGTCTTATGACCCTTTTTCACACTTAAAGACCGTTACAGCATCCCCATGATCACGGGATCAAAATTCAGACGCTTGGCAAACGACTCATATTTATGACGGGTGCAGCTTCCTGGGGTCATGTGATCAAAATTCTGACACTTGGCAACTGACTCACATTTATGACGGTCGCAGCGTCCCAGGATGAGGCGATTCAACTTTGGCGACCTCTTGACAAGCAAAGTCAAGGGGGGGGGGGGAAAGCCAGATTTCCTTAACAATCGTGTCACTGCTTTAACAACTGCAGCGATTCACTTAAAAAATGTGGCAAGAATGGTTGTAAAAGGGGGCAAAATTCGCTGAACAACTGTCTCACTTAACAACAGAAAATGTGGGCCTCAATTGTGGTTGTATGTTGAGGAGATCATTTAAATCCAACCATGTTTTTGATGCTTGGAAAAAAAAGAGAGAGAGGTGGCCTGCGTTTCTGAGGAGATTGGCAACCTCAGAAATCCGACGCCACAGCTCGGCCTAAAACAGTGGTGGCGAACCTATGGCACAGGTGCCAGAGGCGGCACTCAGAGCCCTCTCTGTGGGCACGCATGCTGTCGCCCCAGTCCTAGGCCTTCAGCTGGGTTTTATAAAACCTTTTCGCTTTAGGCCTCCACCGCCATATACAAAAAAAAAAGGTTTAATCAATCAGTCAATTTCAACTTCTTGTGGGAAAAAAAAGATCTTGCAAAGTTGGAATTGATTGATTGAACTTTTTAGTCCCACCCAGTCTGCTGTTACCACCACAGCCATGCCCACCCAATAGGCCATACCCACCCAATGGGCCACACCCACCCGGCACCCGACGATGCATAAGTGGGTTTTGGGTTGCAGTTTGGGCACTCGGTCTCTAAAAGGTTCGCCATCACTGGCCTAAAAACATCAAAAAAAAAAAAAAAGTGAGAAATCTGCCATGCAATAAATGCTTTCAGCACAAAAAGGGATAATGCCGCCATTCGGTGGGATTTCCAGCCCAGCAGTGGAAGGAGAGAAAGGGGAAAAAGACAAACGAGCCATCAGCCGAGGGAAAAGGTGGAAAGGAAGAATCGATCGACTAACCTAATTTCAGGAGCCAGCCTTCTCGATCTGGATTAAAAAAAGTATGGGTTAAATCGTTCCCGTCGTCTTCTGGAATTTTGAAGGGCTCGTTTTTAATGCTTTCGTATAAATTCTAGAAGAAACCAGAGGGCAGAGGAGGTTAACGCCACCTGGACGAATACAAATTCTGTGTCCGGGGCAAAGGATCAGGACCGTACGTTAAGTTGCCGTTCAGAAGATTCATTGCTCAAGCCTGTACACAAGGATCTAGTTGAGTAAAGGTTCACATCTGAATTGGTGCCAGATAAGAGTTAATGGGATTCAAAAGAAGTTTGGACCATTTGTGGGAACTTAATAACTCTAGGGTAATGACTCACTTAACTCCACCCCTGGCTCTGCTTGCTCTTCTACATTCTGTCCAGAAATCAAGAATCTATTTTTTCTCGGAGAATCAATCGGTAACTCCTTCTTTCCAGACCTTCCCCTCCTTTTCAAACCTGGTGTTAGGACACGCAACTTGGAAATGAAATATAATTTGGTCTAAAATCTGGAAATGTTTTTCAGCATGTCACCCAAATTTAGAGGTTGCATGACCTGGAGAGATACTGTGCTGAGAACCCAGTTGAATTGGTTTCTACCATCATCATCCCGAGAGTTGATTCACTGATTCCTTGGCCACCCTTCAAAACTCAACATCACATGTTCATCCCGTTTGCAAAGCCACTTACCCGTAACAATTCTTCCGGGAGGTCTCCCCCCTCGTTAATACCTCGGTTCATAGATATGAACCTCTCTGCTGTTGGCTTGTCTCTCACGTTGTGGTTATGCAGACTGGTGTTCAACATAATGATCGCAAAGGAGAGGACATAGCAGGTATCTGGAGAATGGAAGATCAAAGCAGAACAGTTGCTTGCAAAACCAGCCTCTGGCAAATTAGGAATGAAGCAAACCAGAACATTTTTCTCTCTCTTACGACCCCCGGCAGAGAGAAAAGACATCCTGTTGGAGTTGTATTGAACTTGGGACACAACTCTCTCGGGCATGTAGCTGAGAAGGAAACCTTATATGAGTTTGCATGAAATGACTACCGGTGGTCCTCACAACCACAGTTGAGCCCAAAATTTCATTGCTAAGCTAGACAGTTGTGAAGTGTGTTTTGCCCCATTTTACAGTCTTTCTTGCCGCAGTTGTTAGTGAATCTCTGCAGCTGTTCAATTAGGAATGTGGTTGTTAAGCGAAGGTGACTCTGCTTGTCAGAAGGTCACAAAAAGGGAGTCACTTGACCCCCGGGACAGAGCTCATGTATCCCTGAGCCAATCTGTGTACGTGGCCAATTCCCCTGCCTTCCAGCCAACCTCGGTTGCTCTAAAGAGGTTTGCAAAACCTTCCAAAACAAAATTCAATAGTTGTTACCAGTGGCAACCATGACAAAAGCCGGCCAAGCTCTGTCAACACCGAACCCGTTGAGACTTGCAGGATGTGGAAGTCCAACCGATAAGGACCAATACAGGTGGGAAAGGCCACACCCACTCACCTGTAGACTGGAAGACCCCAGGGTTGCAAAGGCAATAGCGCGAAGCAAAGGCCTCCATCATGCGGTCGATTTTTTGAGCTTCTCCCGGCAGCCTAAAACTCCACAGGAATTGCCTGCAAAGATATCCAGAAAGTCATATGTTGCACAAGATCAGTCAAGCCAATCTTCTCTGAAGCTGTGATTTTTCACGACAGCCGTCATATGGCAGTGTGTTAAATGTTGCAGTCCACATACATTTAACAGCCCCCCAATCCAGGAGAGAATCATGGAATAACAGTGTTGGAAGGGACCGTGGAGATCTTCTCGCCCAACCCCCTGCGTAAACCAGAGACCTCATACAATTCTGGACAAACGGTTGTCCAATTTCTTCTTGAAAACTTCCAAGGGTGGAGCACCCACAACTTCTGGAGGCAAGCTGTTCCACCAGCTAATTGCATGTTTCCAAATCTTTTAGGGGCCATGCTAAGCCATGATTTGTGTGAGCCAGGCTACCTTCATCCACACAATCTCTGAACAGGTTCCTCCTTCTCTTCAAGTTACAAGAGAATTTGTCCCCTGTGCAAACATAGCCAAACAGTGGCTTAGTCAATGCATTATGTTGAAGCAAATTTGACCCTGGGGATGGAGAAGCACAGGCTTGACCAAAGGGTTGGTTAAAAAAAAAAAAATCAAGATGGCAGCCAAAAGAGGGGGGGCTTCTATCAGAAGGTCGGTGCTGCCATCTTGATCTCTTCATATATTTTTTTATTTTCATTTTTTAAAATTATCTCTGCGGGCGGGCGATCGCAATGCAGCCACATTTGCTAAGCTATGAGTTATATTAAGAAACCCCATTGGCTGAAATGAACTAACACACCAGCTATTCCAGTACAAACTGACTTGTGGCTTAGCGTAGGAGGCTGTACACAATGTTAAACTCTACAGTTAAGATCACGAGAGAGTTTAATCGCGGGATCTTCACAGAAAAGCCTTGTAAGTAGCCTTCCACACACACACACACATACGCACACACACCCCGACTACAGCCTCAAGCATTTTTAACCCTTTTTCTCCAACAGCCTCTTTAAAATCTTTCCTACCGTAATGCTTGGACGAGATTGAGATCCACAAACTCATGGAGTTCAACAAAAGCCTGAAGTACTTTAATATTAAAGTCATCCCTGTAAAAGAAAGATGGAGAAGTTGAAATAGTAACTGTTTAATTTAATGTTCAGAGGTTGGGCTTTTGAGGTGGTTGGGTTATTTTATTTTAATTGGCCAGTGACCAAGTTGTGATCACTGGTCCAAACCAGGCAACTTCAACAATAACCTTAAGGAATTATTTTTATTATTAGATAATTGAAAAAAGGACATCGTCATCAATGCACAAGCTGTGGATTAGGAGGAGGACTGTGGGGTCCTTGGTGCCCTCTGAGCTTCGTTGTTTTCTTGCAGATGTTTCATGACCCAACTAGAAAGCATCATCAGTGCTAGAAGGGAGTGGAGGATGGAGGAGGAGGACTGTGGGGTCCTTGGTGTCCTCTGAGCTTGGTTGTTGTCTTGCAGATGTTTCATGACCCAACTAGAATCATCAGTGCTAGAAGGGAGTGGAGTTTGGGAGAAGGAGTAGGAGGAGGAGGAGAAGAGAATTAAACCTCCAAAGGATGTCCGAGCTATGAAGTGAATCACCCAAAACAGGACACACCAAAATTAAAACTGCCACTGCAAACTTTTTCTTAGCCGGTGCATATTGTTACATCAGACCCTGGTGTCACAACTGCACACCATTCTTCTGCAGACAGTGTCCTCCTCTGTCCAAGGGAGGGACTATTGTTGGTGAGGAATGATGTTCACAAATATTTTCTTACCTCCACCCTGCTTACCTGACATTTCATTACCCAACTAGGCAACATCATCAATGCTAGAAGGGCGTGGGGTTAGGGAGGAGATGGAGGGAGGAAGAGAAGGAGGAGGACTTTGTGGTCTTTGATGCTCTCTGAGCGTGGTTCTTTTCTTGCAGACGTTTCATGACCCAACTAGGTAACATCATCAGTGCTAGAAGGGAGTGGAGTTTGTGGAGAGGAGGAGGAGGATGATTATGGGGTCCTTGGTGCTCTCTGAGCTTGGTTGTTTTCTTGCAGACACTTCATTACCCAAGTAGGCAACATCATCAGTGCTAGAAGTGAGTGGGGTTAGGGAGAAGGGGGGTGAAGAGGAGGAAGAGGAGGAGGAAGACATCATGGTCTTTGGTGCCCTCTGAGCTTGGTTCTTTTCTTGCAGACATTTCATTACCAAACTATGCAGCATCATCAGTGCACTGCTAAGGATACCACTGGTGATGTTACCTGGTTTGGTAATGGTAATGGTAATGAAACATCTGCAAGAAAACCACCAGGATCAGGGAGCATCAGAGACACAGATGCCTGTTGACACAAACCACCATGACACAGGAACAACCAAACCCCGCCTTGCCTTTTCTTTTTGGGCCAGTGGGAATCCCATGATTCAGCGTCATTTAATCACGTTGATATGAAGCCCTGCAAATCACAGGGTGTGTCCCAAAGGCAGAAGCAGATTAAAATGTGGGGGATCCGCTTCCAGCCTAAGAAAGGGCAGGTGGATTTTGACAGGCGGTTTCCAAAGACAGCCTGACAACCCTCTCCAAGAATTTTAATTAATATGTCGAAAAACCCACTCATTAAGTCAGAGGCAAGCTGATGGTTGTGTAAATACTAGGAAGCCTTTGGCCAAGGGGAAATGAACGTGGGGAGGTTCAGAGGCGGCTGGTTGTTGTTGTTGTTGTTTTAACTTTGACACAATCATATCAACCACGACCATTGTGCAATTGAGCAAGTAGGCCGGAGAGAGTTTTTGAGGTCTTCGCCGTGTCACTAAGATCACGACAAGGCCTTTCTTCAAGACCTCCTTGTTATCTTATTCTGTTTTTCTCTGGATAATTTTGGTCAAGTAGGGCCTCATCCTTTGTAAACCGGGTAGCAATCACCTGTTTTGTCAAGAGGATGAAAGGAAGGAGAGGAGAGGAAAAGAAAAAAAAGGAATAATACGGCTGCCTCACCAGATTGAAACCAAGGCATGTCGTTAATATGAAATTGTCCTGGTTTCAATTCCTCACTTCCTAAATCCCAATTCTATAAATGCTCTGTAGGATTTTACCTGTCGGCGTTGCAAGCCAACACTGCAGAGTCTTTTAGATTTAGGTTTGGGGTGTGGATATTGTATTTATTTACATATTTACTTATAAAATTTATTGGCCGCCTATCTTACCACAGGATAAATCTGGGCGGCTTATAGTCATAAAAAATATTTCTATACATATACATGAAAGCATAAATTCATTCAAATGAAATGTTAAAACCTAAGGGCATGTGGGGAGGGGAGGGGTGGAGTGGGGGATGATGGGATCTGTGGTTACTCAACCAACCCCCTCCACTGTGCTGTTCTGAACTGAACTGAAGAAGCTTCTTGGATGAGAAGCAAAACGTTTTCAAGGGGGAAAAAAAAACAAAAAAGTTAAGTTGCCTTTTGGAAAAGCACATTTGGGACGACTTTTGTGGATCTGTTTGCCACCTTGAATTATTTTTCAAAATAATAAAGGCAGGATGCAAACGAAGAAATAAATTCAGGTAACCCTTGACTTACAAGCTCAACTGAGCCCCCAATTTTTGTTGCTAAACCAGACAGTTATTTTGCCCCATTTTACGACGTTTCTGGCCACCGTCGCTGAATTTTGACCAGGGAAATGCTGCTACGGGTGAAAAAATGGTCATAAGTGGCTTTTTTTCCAGTGCCGTTGTAAGTTCGAACGGTCACTAAACAAATTGTTGCGAATTGAGGACTACCTGCGAAAGGAAAGGAAACCTGAGATTCTAAGCCCAGCTCTCCGTGTCCATCTTAAGAAGATACACCTCAGGACTGGCCTCCATTTACCTTTCCCCGAGATAATCGCCGATAACAGTTTTATTGAGCCCTTCCCCTTTATAAAGGAACTCAGCAATGTCTTCTGGCATCTTCTGCAGGAGATCATTCTCAATGAGAAATTGAATTCCCTAAAAAAAAGAAGAAGGAAAACAAAAATTCAGGCTTTGTTGCTCTTTATCAAAATTTACATCCTGGAAATACAGAATAACAGAACTGGAAGGGACCTTGGAGGTCTTCTAGTCTAACCCCTTGCTCAGGGAGGAAGCCCTATACCATTTCAGACAAATAGCTGTCCATCTCTGCTTAAAAACCTCCAGTGTTGGAGCACCCACAACTTCTGGAGGCTGGTGGTTCCACTGGTTAATTGTTCCCACTGTCAGGAAGTTTCTCCTTAGTTCCAGGTTGCTTCTCTCCTTGATGAGTTTCCATCCGATGCTTCTCGTCCTGCCTTCAGGAGCTTTGGAGAATAGCTTGACTCCCTCTTCTTTGTATTTAGCAATAGCATATTAACTCATGGCTTGTTTTAATCACAGTTTATTGAGCAAGGAAACTCATTGACCCTAAGGCTTGGCCACTTCATGATTACACATTGCTAAATACTACACTAACCTGTCGCTTGTTTTAACCATGGTTTGTTGAACAAGGACATTTGTCCACCCAAAGCTTTGGCCACCTCATTGCTAAAAACCACACTAATCCGTGGCTTATTTTCACAATGATTAATTGGGATTAATAATGTTAGGTTAACATGGTGGCTTGCTTGTTTTCGACTCAAACCTCGCTGTGCAAATCTGGTTCTGCTTTTTGAGCCTTTAGAAAATAGCCTTTTAACTACCCTTTTGAAACCAGGACTTCATGGGAGCAATTCCTGGGCAAGATTTATTGCTCTTTTTTTGTCCTTCTTGAGACAGTTGGAACCACAAACTGGCCAGAGTGGAAATACTGGGTTCATTTTCCCAAACAAACAAACGGAAAGTTCAAAGCAGGTTCGGGATGGAGGAGAAATAAGGAAAAACAAATGTCTTTTTGACAGAAGGAACCCGGAGGCCAGCCGCAGCACTTGGTGCCAAAAGGCAAGCGGTCCTTCCTGTTCCGGAGGGAGGAAAATGCATTGAATAATTTTATTATCAGGTTAAGCACAAAGATATTTTATCAAGCCTGGAAACTCTTTTTAGTCTTGAAAAACGGCTGCTGTTTTTCACTCCTTTTCTCTGTCTGTGGGGGGGGGAGTCACTTGTGACAGGTCCTCCCACTTATGACAACATCCTCACGATTAGGAGCTTGGCAACCAGCATCTATTTAGGACGGTGGCAGTATATAACCAGGGTCACGTGATCGCCATTTGCCTTCTTCCCAGCTGGCGCCGGACAAACAAAGTCAACGGGGAGAAACCAGATTCGCTTAACGTCCACACGGATTCGCTTAACAACCACAGGGGGGGGAAGGTTGTAAAATGGGGCACAACTTGCTGGACAACCGCCGTGCTTAGCAGAAATTCGGGCCCCCGTTGTGATCATAAGTCAAGGACTGCCTGTGTTACACAAACTTCCCTAAATAAATATCTAGCCGAGACACAAAAAACCAAGAATCAGATTTCCATTTGGAGGCAGCATTTGGTTACCCAAAAGAATTATGTTTCCTTTCACTCTATCTCTATCTCTCTTTCTATCTATCTCTCTCTCTCTTTCTCTCTCTCTCTCTTTCTCTTTCTCTTTCTCTCTCTCCATCTTTCCTGTTCTTTCTCAGTCTTTCTCTTTCTATCTTTCTCTCTCTCTTTCACTCTCTCTATATCTTTCTCCTTTTTTCTTTCTCTTTCTCTTTCTACTTTTCTCTCCATCTCTTTCCCTTTCCCTTTCTTGCTCTTTATCTTTCTCTCTTCTTTCTTTCTCTTTCTATATTTCACTCTCTCTATCTTTCTCTCTGTCCCTCTTTCTTCCTCTTCCTCTCCTTTTCTCTCTCTCTCCTCTCTTTCCCTCTCTCTCTCTCTTTCTTTCAACTCTATGCTTTCTTCTAATGGGACTTGTCTTCTGGAAATCCAGATGACTCAAAAAATGAAATTAGCGTCATCGGAAACAAAATCAAGCTAACCCCGTAGGGAGAAGACAAAGTTCCAGATGTATTTAGCTCTTAGGAGGTGAACCAGACAAAAAGAACGTGCCTTCACTGAACTGTCTCTTTGAGATCTAATAAAGAAAAAATGGAAAAATGGATGAAGACTGAAATGTAATAAGAGAGATACGTTTGCAGAACAGCTCTAGAGAGCATGCTCCAATGTTGCCAAGCTCCATTTATTGGGCTTTTCTAGCAAAGTGGTACAATGGAGATCAGAGGAGCTGGGTTAATAAAGCAAGATGGCATCTGTCATTGCATGCTTGTAGCTGGGAATTCGGGCAGTTGGCTGGCTGGAGAATTCTGGGAGTTGAAGTCCACGAGTCTTAAAGTTGCCAAGTTTGGATACACCTGATGTAAATCTACTGTATTTTAATGAGTTAGGGGTCATGCTGGCTGAGGAATTCTGGGAGTTGAAGTCCACGAGTCTTAAAGTTGCCAAGTTTGGATACACCTGACGTAAATCTACTATATTTTAATGAGTTAGGGGTCATGCTGGCTGGGAAATTCTGGGAGTTGAAGTCCACAGGTCTTAAAAGTTGTCAAGATTGTTCACCCCGGCTTAAAGCATGCAATCAACACCTCCAACTATAGTTGACTGAACAAACTGGTTAGACAAACCATGATTTGGCCACATGAAACAACTCAGCTCAAAGTACGCATTCTCAAGAACTAAGAAAGTCTCACCTTCTTGGGATCCATGTTAAATTTTTTCCTTCCCATTGCAACTTGCTTATTCCTTTGGGTAGCTTTACTGTCAGTTTGGAGGGAAGAGAAATAAAAAAAAGACAGAATTAGAACAAAAATGTGTTTCCTCAATTAAATTGAAGGCATTGTTTATGGGTCAGGTGAGCGCACAAGGAGCCTTCAACCCCTTCTCGTGGTTTAAAATTGTTATTAACTCAGAGAAAAATCAGAAGTAGCTTTAGCTTCATGGCAGAGAGTCAGAAATGGCATTTAAATATTCTGGCAAACGCAGGAGCCAGGAATTATAAGGTTTTAACCCACAAACCAGTTAAACTGGATTCATCCAAAGGAACGGATGGAATAATACACCGAGTGTCTGGATGCCAATAAGCGTTTAGGTTTTCTGCTTTGCTAGCACAATCCCACAACTAAAACGATTGCAGAGGCTTGATAAACAAACCACGGAGGTTGTACCCAAAATGCCATTGCCGGCCTCGTGCCAGCGGCAGGATGCAAGGCTTTATCTAGCTCAACCTTCAAAAACTTAATGCAAGAATCTCAACCTTCACATCTTGAAACCTTCAATTCTGGGTCCAGATGCACTAAACTAACACACTCTGAATAAGGGGGAAAGGGTTCTCTCTGTTATTTTTCCCCAAAGGCAAACAAAAATATAATTTTTGTTGTCTTTGGGGGGGGGGGGAAATAAGAGAGACAACCCCTTTCCTCTTATTACATTTTTGTTTGCTAAGATCCAAGTGCGAGTTAGGATAGAAAACCCTTTAAAATTTATTCCTGCTCCAGATAAAGAAAAGCATGTTATCTTGCAGCTAAGGAAAAAAGATTATACAATAAACTGACTAAACAAAGAGATCTGATGCAAAAGTCTGCATTTATTGACTGCAGAAAAGTTCCTGCCAGGAAATACTGTCCATGCAAAGGAATTTTTGTAGCTCTGGATTGAAATGTGGGATCCTTGGTGTTCTTTGAGCTTGGTTGTTTTCTTGCAGACTTTTCATTAACCAACTAGGTAACATCATCGGTGCTAGAATGGAGTGGGGTTTGCAAAGAGGAGGAGGAGGAGGAGGAGGAGGAAGAGGAGGGGGACTCACCTCTCCTCTACGCTGGTCAGGTGATCAATCTCAGTCATAACTTCTGCAATCTCAAATTTTAACCGCTGCAGAAAGAACACAAAGTCAGAGTTTAGCCTTGGCAAATGTCGTGGATGTGTCCTTTTGGTGCCGTTGGCTGGATTCTGTATCTTTGTTCTTTATCCTAACCCTTTTTGTTTTTCTTAGTTTAGGGTTTTTTTGGGGGGTGGGATTGTGTTGTATTTTATGTCAAATGCCCTACTGTGAGCCACACAGAGTCATTCAGGAATGGGGCAGTGCCTAAATCCCATTGATCTAATTAAAATAATGAAAGGCGATTTCCCAGAAAGTGCACCTGTGGGGTGGCAAGTTTGTTTATTTCTTTCTTTTCTTTTTCTTTTTAAAAGGAATTTAGATGCTTCATAACATCTCGAGATATCTTTATCTACCCTGTCATTTTATCCACAGGACGTGGCAGCTGAATTACCTTTGCTGAGTAGCAATTATTTTAAAAAAACAAACAAACTTGAGTTGAAAAAACAGCAGGACAACTTAACTGCCACAACCCAGGGAGTCCCTCAACTTACATCTATCCATTTAGCGACCATTCAAAGTGATGACCCTACAACAACCGCAGAATCCCTGCCATGGCGTGACCAAAATCCAGGCAGTGAATCGCTTAAGAACTGTGGCAGAAAAAGGTTGTAAAACTGAGCACGGATCACTTAACAATCCCCTGGCTTAGCCATGGGAACTCTGCTCCCAATCGCCGTAAGTCAAGCACCCCCTGTGATCCAATCCAGGAGACAAGAAAGTTTATTAGAAAAAGAAATTGATTACCTCTATATCGTCAATTAATTCTTTTTTTCTGCGACGGATGTTTAAAAGTTCCTCTCTCTCCTCCGCAGACAGATCATCAGGCACTGGATGAAAAGAAAAGCACCCTTGTAAACCGTCTGAAACTACTAATATTTTACTAGTGAATACTACACGGGCCTCTGCTTGGTGGGTGTCAATGTAAGGTAGACCCCATAGAAATACAGATAGTCCTCAATTTACGACTGTCATTGAACAGGTCGTAAGTCAAGGACTACCTGTACTTCACCCTCTGTCCATAAGGAAAACTCCTTCAAACTACAGTGAATATTATTTCTTTAATAGCAAAGACCTTTAGGGCAGGTTTATTTTCCCAGAAAACACTCAACAATAATTAGCAAGCAACCCCATTACAGCGTGCAAATCACATCTTGGCTAATGTTGACGCTGCTCACTTACCTTAAAAAATTATAAAAGCAGATGGCCCCTCCAACTCTGTTGCAGAGTAAAGGCTGACACAATTAACCGCATTAAATTATTCTACATCAGTGGCAAAGGGCACCCATGGAGATCTTTTAAACTGCAAGTGTTTTGTTTTTGGTTTTTTGCTTGCTTACAAACAGACACATTTAGGAAGCTGAAAAGGAAGATGGTATCTTTAAAAAAAAAAAAGTGTAGCAGCTGAAAAAATTAGCTTTTGACAAGCTCCAAGGAGAAGCCCTCCTTTTTGCAGTGATTCATTTAACAGCTGCTGCAAGAACTGTTGTAAAATGAAGCAAAACGAAGTTAATGGTCGTCTCACTTGGCAACCCAAATTTTGGCCTCCATTGTGCTTGTTAAGTCGAGGACTGCCTGTATCCCAGCATCGCTTTGCTAACCAGAGGAAAATAAGCTTTGTGTGTTGGAAAGCTTTTCCCAGAAAGTCTGAAAGGGTAAGCAATATTATTCCAGGGTGGGGTGAGCGTCTGTCAGAGTCGTCTGAAGGAAGAGATGGGGATGTATTACAAATAAGCAATTCTTGGGAGCAGCAGGAGGAAAGCTGCTTGTGTAAATAAAGCAAGAAATATCTTTTGGCTGCTCTTCCACGAACACACCTTTGATCTCCCAAACTTTTTATAAGCAAAGATTTGGGCAGCAGGCTGATACTCTGTCAGAGGACGAGAGGATATAGGCTCTGTCTGGTTCAGTAGCGTTAGTCAGGGTCAAACTTCACAAGCCGAGTCAAAAATTATCCCCCACCCACTCACTCTCTTTAGCGGTAGAAGATTAGTAATCCCTGAGCTAACAGACTTTGGAAACCAAGAATTATGAAAAAGCAACTCATAATAAATATGCCTAACTCTGCTGAAGGAGAAGGAGAAGGAGAAGGAGAAGGAGAGAGAGAGAGAGAGAGAGGGGGAGAGAGAGAGAGAGAGAGAGAGAGAGAGAGAGAGAGAGAGAGAGAGAGAGAGAGTGAGAGAGTTCTGCACCTTAATCAAATTTAAGGAATGCTACCGTTCACAAACGGGAAAGAATTAAGTGTTATTAAGTGTTTCCTTTAAAAAAAAAAAGTGCTTAGAAGCTGGTTCTGAATCTTACATCATCAGTGCATGATGTTATTTAGTTGGGCGATGAAATGTCTGCAAAAAAAAACAACCTAGCGCAGAGAACCCCAAGGACCCCGCAGTTGTCCTCATCTACTCTGCAAACCCCACTCCTTTCTAGCACTGATGATGTTCCCTAGCTGGGTCATGAAACTTTGGAGAGCCACCTGTCTCACCATCACGGAAGACCTGTCCAAATTGTCCCGTAGTTTAATCCAGAAATCGTTCCTCAGACGGAAACTTAGTAAACCAGGTGCCTCGCTGGAGATGATCCGGGTCATTTGGCAAATAATAAAACCCGAAGAAATGAACAGATGGTGTATCTTGATTTTCCCAAAGAATTAAGACAGATTAGATGATGATCAAGACAAACCATTGCTTGGTAAAGGAGTTTACAAGAAGAAGAACACTAAGTAAAGTCACACGTTTCTCCTGAAGGTCCATTAGTGTTCCACGAGGCTTGGCAAATATTTGTTGAGCACTTCGCCAGCCAGGTATCTGAACACTTAGTTAAATATCTTCTCCTCCTCCTCCCATCCTTTCATTACCCCAGTGATACAAAAAGTCCTGTTTTGAAAAACACAGATTGAAGCTGGAATAATACGTGCTTCTCTGTTCTTCCCTTATTTTTTTTTTTCCATCAGGCACCGCAATCTGATAACAAGCAGGTCTGTAATTTGTGTACTTTGCTGTCGTCTCCCAGAATGTGCATAAGTGGCTTTTAAAGGGCAAAACACAAAAAGTAAACTCAATTACAATGAAGTGATGGATTCGTACACAAACATACACGCATACCGTTTTGAGAAAATAAAGACCCGTCATCCTGTTCCTGGAAACAGATGCATCTTTCTCACAAACTCCCTTTTCTGGATTGCTTTTAAAAAGACAAGTGTTTTGTTTAGGGAATCATGGCCTTTCCCCCCCCCCTCCAAGAATCTGTCATTACTAAGATTGAGTTCTGATTTTGTGATTCAGAATAACTGACTGACGAAGTGGGAAGGGATCTTGGAGGTCTTCTAGCTGATCCCCCTGCGCAAGCAGACCTATACCATTCCAGACAAATGGCTGTCCATTCTCTCCTTAAAAACCTCCCATGATGGAGCACCCACAACTTCTGGAGGCAGGTTGTTCCACTGATTGATTGTTCTAATTGTCAAGAAGTTTCTCCTTAGTTCTAGGTTGCTTCTCTCCTTGGTTAGTGTCCATCCGTTGCTTCTTGTCCTGCCTTCAGGCACTTTGGAAAATAGCTTGACTCCCTCTTCTTTGGGGCAGCCCCTGAGATACTGGAACACTGCTATCATGTCACCCCTCGTCCTTCTCTTCATTAAACTAGACATACCCAATTCCAGCAACCGTTCCTTATATGTTGTAGCCTCCAGTCCCCTTATCATCTTTGTTGCTCTTCTCAAAGATTTAGGAGGAGAAGGGGAAAGTCTGTGGGGTTCTTGGCACTTTCTGAGCTTGGTTCTTTTCTTGCAGACATTTCGCCACCAAACTAGGTAACATCATCAGTGTTAGAAGAGGATGGGGTTTGCAGAGAGGAGGAGGAGGAGGACAACGACAGTGGGGTCCTTGGTGCACTTTGGAAAATAGCTTGACTCCCTCTTCTTTGGGGCAGCCCCTGAGATATTGGAAGACTGCTATCATGTCACCCCTAGTCCTTCTTTTCATTAGACTAGACCTACCCAATTCAGTGATGTATACTCATATTTTGCCATGTTACTTCTTTTTGATTTCTCATGATCTATGAAGCCATTCCTATGGTATATAAGCCACAGTTTACAGTTTTGTATAACAAAGATCCCTACTATAACAATTCAAACACAATGGTTAAACCCCACTTAGCCTGATGACAAACCGCAGATATAACCCATCTGTGTTATAGCGGAACTAGTCCAAGGACTGTGGTTAGTTTTAAACCATAGATGTAAATGGACACTGGAGATGTATAAACTTAGTGATGTGAAAATATGTAACATGCCGCATCAGGTTTTAAAAGGAGGATTTCAGTTTGTTTTTATTCAGCAATATTTGATTAGCCATGGCTCAATTAGTCCTGCTTGGAGGTTTAACAAAATAAACAAGTGAGCATCGAGAATCAACCTCGGGGGGGGGGGGGAGGGAAGCAACGCAACTCACAGAGAGATGGAGAAACACCAAGGACCCATTTTGTGTATCTAAGAGGATGTCCCAAACATTCATAGAGAAAAGTCTCAGATTTGGCCAAGTATTAGAAGACTTGGTCCTTGTTCTTCCACGCTCCTCTTTGAACAAGCCTTGGGTATTTAAGGTCTGTCTATTTCTGTTCAAAGGATGTTCAAGACAAGAAAATAAACGGGTCTGCAGTTCTGTGCAAAGTTCACGAGATAAGATAACCACCTCCAACTGAAACCAACTGAAAGATAAAATGTCCTGAGTTATGGCCGAAGGTCAACCAGGTTTTGGAAGAATCAACCACCCAGATATGGAAGAGGTCACAAGATAATGGGCTTAATTTAAAACAAGAAATCAAGGAATGGGAGGGAATGTATGGGCAGCTCCACTGGGGAGAATTACTCTTCTCACTGCTTCTGCCGGGGGTTGGACTAGAGGACCTCAAAGGTCCCTTCCAAATCTGTCCTTCTGTTATTCTGAGAGAAGAAAACAAAGACATTTCAGCAGTGAAAAAGGAAGGGGAAGAAAAAAAATGCAATCCCTTACCAAGAATATTAGTACCACATGTTACTAAAACAGGCAAGGCTCACGGCTTGCAGAATAAAGTAATAACAAAAAAAGATGCACACACCACCCCCCCTGAACTCGGCAGACAAAGATTGTTGATATGTCCCCGTGAAAGAATTTCAATTTAGCCCGAAGGAATGAAAAATGTGTTTCCTAAAACAACAATTCTTCTTGGATCTCAAACAAAAGAGATTTTTTTATATTTTTTGCATTGCTGCAGCTAAATTAAGGGAACCGGCTCCTGCATTTTGTAGAATAGAATAGAATAGAATAGAATAGAATAGAATAGAATAGAATAGAATAGAATAGAATAGAATAGAATAGGAATATGGAGGTCATCTAGTCCAACCCCCTGCTCAGGCAGGAAACCCTACCTACACCATGTCAGACAAATGGCTGTCCAGTCTCTTCTTAAAAATCTCCAATGATGGAGTACCCACAACTTCTGGAGGCAGGTCGTTCCACTGGTTAATTGTTCTATCTGTCAGGAAGTTTCTCCTTAGTTCCAGGTTGCTTCTCTCCTTGATTACTTCAGATAATTACTATTATCTGTTGCTTCTTGCCCTGCCTTCAGGTGCTTTGGAGAATAGCTAGACTCCCTCTTCTTTGGGGCAGTCCCTGAGATACTGGAACACTGCTATCATGTCCCCCCTCGTCCTTCTTTTCTTAAAATGTCTGAAGTTGGAAAACTCTGATATAGGGCTACAAATTTAGTCACTCCCTCTCTCCAAGACGATATGACCATTGTACTATTCACTAATGGTTAACCATGGTTTATTAAACAAAGGTTCTTGCCACACATC